CTAGTAGACCAAAATTTTTACAATAGATAAACTTAGACAGGACTTAAATAATTACCTAGTAGGCCCAACAGTTCAAAATGCAATTACTGAATTGTCAGGTAGAATTGGCTGTATTTTCAATAAATCCGTCTATGAGTTCTTCGTTGGTCGTCTAACGGCATATCTAAGTCCAAGTTGTTCTAATCTATGACAGCGTCAAGCTTCAACTTTAATTGAGCACTTCGAGTCCTGGTAAAACTTATAGACACTAACAGTATATTCGCCTAATATGTAGTTTTCTCCATTAACATTCCTAAAAATAAAACATGAGGCAGAGACACAAACACAATTTATTCCACCGTTATTGTTGACGTTGGTTAATAAATACTGGGCAATAAGCATAACTGATATCATTAATTATGTTAATTTGTAAAACCATTCGATGGAAAGTTAGTAACGGTTTGTTAGGGGTTGGCGACCGTTTTTCTCAAGAACAGATGGTTTTTCCTTATTTTTTCGCTTAACCCCATTCCTCGATGGGTTTCAATTCTGATACGCACTTCCTTTTTCAAGAGTCAGCACTTTCTGTTTAAGCATCAAATTAAAAAAATTTCACCTTATTTCAATCATTTTTCATGGTCATTTAATTGTTCAAAAATCGACATTTTTCTGTACCATTTTTTTTTCAAATGGTTTTTATTCTATTGCATCCAATTTTTTCTATACTACGACTTTGTTGGTAGGGGTTGTAAAAATAATGAATTGATAATTTTTGACAACAACCTAAAATTGTGACAAAATTGTACTGCCTTTATTTTTTATTAAAAAATGTATTTATACTCTTTCCTAGTCGTTTTTTAAACACATTGCTTGCTTCGGTAGTTATTAGTATTATTTCTATTATTATCGATTACTATTATTATTAGTTACTATTATTTCTCTTTAAAAAAATCTTTTCAATGTAATGAGTTTTGAAATAAATTGTACAGAAAAGGGAAAAGTTTAAACTTTTTCACAGAAGCGATTTTCCGATCGCTGGCCAACTTACGCCAAAAATGTAACAAATCGATTCCTTTCGAAGTAGGAAGTAAAGGAAGATATTTGAGAAAGTACTTTTGCCACAAATACAATTTATTCTCTCGTTCACTTGCTATAATATATTTATAACTTTTTGAAAAAATTCAACACAAAAATATTTCTACGCTCTCCTGGTTGGTTTTTAAACTGGCTAAATAGGATTGTGGCATTATTATTTTTCTTCAAAATAAAAAAATAATCTTTCCAATGTAATGAAGAGATTTGAAATAAATCGTACGAAAAAAGGACAAAATTAAACTTTTCGGGAGTAGCAATTTCCTCATTGAGCACCAAATTCTCAGTTGCTGGCCATTTACTCCATAAAACTGTACACATCGATTCTTCTGGAATTAGGAAGTTGTTAGGCGATGTTTTGGAAGGTAGATTTTGACACAGAAGAGAATCTTCAAATAGCTTAAGAGAAGACAAGTTCGTCAAGCGAAGATACCCAAGAACAATTGAATCGCAAATTTTGAAACAATTATTCGAAGTACTTTTAGATGTTTATTTAAGTCTTAGTTGTTTTTAAGCGAACTGTGCATTTTTTGTGTAGTTATGTTGTTTCCTATGCTGTATGATATGCCTATGTTGTTCAAACCTATCGGAAACGACCAACCTACCCATAATAACATGCACACGGGATCACTGTAAGATAGGATCTCACACATATCTCCGTTTTATTCAATCCGTAAATAATTAGCAAAATAATCATGAAAAAATCTCGAGTGGAACAAAATAAATGTTAATTGCCGGTGTAGATACTGTTATACAGAGAGTGTTCCCCTTGCTTTGCTTCTCCTCTTCCTTCCACTTCTTTCTCACCTGGGATTTCTCAGAATCCGTGTAACAATGACTAAATAATTACGCGTACTGTTATGAGAATGTTCCTTACCCGCGTGTCTATGTGAGACGCCGGTGTTATCCGTGTATGCAGGGCGATCAAAAAAAGACGGTCAAATCGAAGTCTCTCTCTTTTTTTTCTTCTGGAAAATTTGGAAATTCTGAGCTTGAACGATGCGATACACCGCGTAGATAAAACGTGGATTGGAAAGCAAATTGCGTCAGAGTATCTCGCCAATTAGATCTTGGCTAACTTCTTCGCGGAGCTTGGCTGTAACTTGCTTTGCGATTTAGTCCATTAAGCAATACTTACTTAAACGTAATTACAATTAATCCTTCATGTATTCCATAGTTTTTCTATTTCCAAGCTTTACAAAATAGAATCATTGTTACTATTTGTTTGCATGCTCCTTGTAATAATCAGCGTCTTAATTCTGTCTAGAACGAAAACAATACGACTTAAGAATAACATAACTCACGAAAAGTTTGCGTTTATCATTAAAGTAATGGCAAAACATATTTAAATGGGATATCAGTTAAATATTTCAAGTAATTATTCTTTTTATGTAAAGTCTTGGTTGAGATGAAAAAGTTACTGCCACGAGCGGGATTCGAACCCTCAACCTTCGGCTCAAATCCCGGGTTCGATCCCGCTCGTTACACTAACTTTTTCATCTCAACCAAGACCTTACATAAAAAGAATAATTCACATGGTCAATTAGACCACTAAACATAAATGGATTAATATATAATAATAAATACATTCACACATGGGAGTAGTAGTTGGGGTTTTGATATTACGCCAGTGTCTTAGCCGTTTCTATCATTCTGCACGCATTTAGACTACTTGGCAGGTCTGTGAGGTACAATACTTTATAGTTCATAATAGACTTGTCTTCCACTTAACCATTAAAGCCTATAAATACATTCTCACCTGAATAAAAACCATGCATGAAGAGTTTCCCTATATGTAACCATAAACTGGCATTAACTTCAGATGCTGAAATAATTCATCTTTGCAATCACTGTTAATAATTAATATTTATTTAGAAATCGTGAGATGCGGTCTGGTGTGATGTAGTTTTCAGAAAAACATTTTCTTTATCGTGCCAACGTTTCGATCTTTATTGTGATCATCTTCAGGGCCTAGGATTTACAAACATTGTTTACATATTACAATTACTTTTTGGATGTGGAAAAAGTGAATTTATACAATGCAAAATATATTTTATATATTCAATCAAAGTATTTCTACTCACTCAAAGTGTTTGTCTTCTGTGTAATTGTGCCATTCTTGCGTGTCGTGTCGAGAGTGCCAGTGAGATTTCGCTATTTTGTGTTTATATACGTTCGATTTTGAAGGGGTGGGGAAGGATGTCGGTTTAGAAAAGACGTTAATAATTAATTAATTATTTCTATATTTAGTGGACCGAATGACCAAATTAATTCGTTCAATTAATTAATCTTTTTATGTAAGGTCTTGGTTGACATGAAAAAGTTAGTGTCACGAGCGGAATCCAACCCACGACCTTCGGCTCAATACGCCACTGCTCTAACCACTTGAGCTATCGTGACTTCGATCCACTCGATACCAACTCACCATTTTAACCTACAACTTTTCGAAGGTGGTGGGTTCGAATCCCGCTTGTGACATTAGCTTTTTCATTTCAACCAAGACCTTACATAAAAAGATTAATTAATTGAACGAAGTAATTTGGTCATTCGGTTCACTAAATAAAATGTGTTTGGGATCTGGTTTCTGGTCTCCACCATGGTTTAATCAGAAACCAGATCCCAAACACATTAATCGTCGTGGTCGATTTCTTCTTCATTAACTAAATATAATGGATTTAATAAGTAAAACGACGTACATCTCCACTAACAGCTCTCCTTTTAGTTTTTCGTTCTTTTGCCAACGAGCAATTTTGCCAATTATTTCAACTAGTTCGTTCAATTTCCTGGGCTAATTGGAATCTCCGGGTCATGTGGCCGGGTTCAGTTTTTCAGAAATAACAAACCCATTTTTGATCCATTGTTTCACATTAAAACCGCCCGTTTTTAAATTATTAAGACGATTTTGTTTGTAATTGTTCTTTCCTAGACGGAGATAAATGCAAGTACAATGAGTTATCACAATGTAAAATCTGTCTGAAGAAATCTGGTCAGTATGTCAGCACCGACGTCTACGAACCTGCTTTACATCTCATTATGAAAATTAGACTTGCGGTACTCGGTTATGTGGTCTACCACGTGAACAAGCGTTCCATGTGAAAATCCAACGTTTTCGTGCTTTTTAATATTTAAAATCCATATTTATAAATCTGCTGGTATATTCTTCAAAATTTTAGTATATCTGAATTAAGATGCAATTTTATACTATATTAAATTAATTATTACATATTAGCAAATAATAAGGGTTGAAACGAAGAATAAATAGTTTAGATTACACTAACTTTTTCATCTCAACCAAGAGCTTACATAAAAAGAATAATTAATTGAAATATAATATTTTAATATCTTTTACTAACATATTGGTTAACACAATTCCAGCATTTTTGAACATAATGCCTAATAAGAGCGTACAGTAACCTGATTTCACCGAACAAGCATATTTCAGATTTTAACTTAGAATGAAGTGAAAAAAGATTTGACAATTTCTCAAACGGTACTCTCAGAGCCGAGTTCTCCAAAAGAGTCATTACTCACTATTACACCTACGCCGAGGTATCATCAGGGTTTCACAAGGGTATCAGGACCCTCCAAATGTCAAAAGTAACGCAATTAGTCGGGTCTTTGTGCTATTATCTACCGACGTGTTATTATCCCCAGATTCTTCCCTTCCACTTTTCTGAAATTGCATAAACGCTGTGGGAGGGCAAACGATACTTGCCACTCGGGTTGCTGCATCCTAAATGCAAAGTTCAACAAGTCAGCAGAAGTCAGAATACTGTTTACAAAACATCCCATTTGCTTTCAATATTTAAAGAAATACCAAGGACAGAAAAGGCTATATTGCAATAAAACCATTTAAACTACACGCGCCTTTACTTCAAATTAGCATATTCCTTTTTACGTGGAAAATTAATTGTTAATTAATGTTTCAGGTGAAGATGGGTGGTCGGGTGGTGTGGTTAGCCTGGTGCTTCGCACTCGGCGCTGCACTTCCGGTCGAGGTGCCAAAGCCCCAAGAGGACACTTCCCAAGACAGAAAGCTCCTCGGGTCAAGGTAATAAATTCCGAAGTGCAAACCTTCTTCATTCTTGAGTACACGCTTTCGCGAAGAAAGTAGGCTCCGCCACTTCCCGCACTTTCTGGAGGTCATACGGGCGCCTCTTCCTGCACAGGAAGTCCGTGCCGAATTGGCCAGGGTGAAAAGTTTCGTTTCCTTATTTTTTAAATTTTTCAATTAAGTCGTTTTGTATTTAAAGTATAATATATAATAATGTTGCGGTGATATAAATTGAATAAAATTCTTCTTTCCTTATTTAAAAACTCATCTTTCATGGCTTATTCTTACGCACTTTTCAATATGCAGAACTCTTCTAGTTAAATAAAAGCTTTCGAATTGCTTCGAATTACATTACAATTACATAAAAATACAAATATTTGGTTAGTCTTTTCCATATTTGGGTCAATTTGTAGTATTTTTAACAGTTTTATAAATAGTAGTTTACTGTCACCACTCCGTTTTTTTTTTTTTACTTTTTGGTCACGTTTCCGCACAATTTACCTTAATCATTGTCATTAATATGTGATTATAATAATCACACTTCATATATCTTTAAATCAATATTTTATGTTGAGAAAAAAATATTAACGTCTTAGTGAAGTTACGAAGTTCTTCGTGTAAATTGATTATTTATTTGGTAGCTTTAAATAATAATTTGTGAAATTTTTCCTAGAGGTCCTGGGGTGACGAATTTGCAACTTGATCGTCATTTGGTTCGCCTATTCTCGCTTGTTTTGCCTTTTGAGTTTACACATTGGGCTATCGACAGTACTTCGTCTGTGTGTGTTGCGACAGTCGTTTTCTTTTTTTCTGTTTAATGTGGATGGGTGAAAGTTAAACGAGTAGAAAGACCACGAATAGCAAAATAACGCACAGAACGACCACTGAAGATGAGAAAATGCCGAAACACGTCTGGCAGATCATACCGGCTAGGACTGAAATACTGGGATGAGACTTAAATAATAAGCTTGTAAAACTGTGCAAAATTTAATGAGCTGATTTGTCAGTTATTTTGATAGAACGGCTGTTTTCTTCTAGACAAAATCAGTTTACGAGTTCTTCTTTGCTCCTCTAACGACGTACATGACTCCATGTTTCTCTAATTTTTTATTATATCGTCGAATTTTAACTTTTTATTTAGCTCTTCGAATCGTGGTAATACTTAGTGACAAAAAAGTTATTCGCGTAATATGAACTTCTCGAACTTTGAAAAAAGCATGATGCAGATAAAACAAATGAAAATTGTTCCATCGTTGACTTGTTGTTGAAGTTTGTTAATAAATATAAGTGGGCAATAAGCATAACTGAAAATTATGTTAGTTTATAAAACCATTCACTGGGACATTGGTAAGGGTTTGCTTAATAGAGAAATTACAGTTTAAATTAGCGACTCGTAAATAAAAGGCGTTCGGATATTTATTTACTATTATTCCAATTGATTTTATTTGTATTATTTTTTTTAGTGTTGTGACTTCAGTTTCTGTGATAATGGACCACGGTAACGGGACGAAAACATACATAACCGATGCGGAATCTCCTACGATCGCAAGGCCGGATGTGGTCGGCACACCTGGAACCCTCATGGCGCCGGACAGGTAGCAAAAAAGAAACTATAGACGTTTTCTGATAATAGAGAATAAAATTTTTCAAGGAATGCTTAAGACATCATTATGACAAAATTTCGCCTTAAATTTGCATAAAATTCACCCCGCCTTCAATCCTCTAACCACCAACACTGGGAAGCGTTGCGGGTTTAGTATAATATTTGTAAAGAGTGATTTTGTCAATTTTATCCCAACAAAAACCTAATTGCGAAAAAAGGGCCAAGTTCCAGACTCCTCATTGCTCATTCAGAAACTGGCTAAATGTTGATCAATAAAAATAAAAGAAATGTGTTGCTCATAAAAGTAGGAGTAAAGTGAGGTTAGCCATAGTCTAGATATCACTACTTTGATAGGCTGACATTTTTACTTTTTTAGAAGGGAGTCAGGAACTTTTATCTCTTCTTTTGAGTTTTCTCAGGTTATGGACTAAAAAGAGAACGGCCTTGGCCAGAGTGTAGATATCATTACATTGATAGGCTAATTTTTTTTGGAGGGGGTCTGGAACTTGGTCTTTTTTCACAGTTAGGTTGAGGCTGAGAGATTGGCCCCTTGGGCGTTCTCACGTGCATTTATATTTGTTTCTTAATAAGTAGGTATTTTCAAATACTCAGGTGGCACAGACGTGTCTAAAATTTATTATTTATATTTTTCGTTTTCATTAAATACGATTTATTTTTAAAAAATTATTCACTCCCGAGGACCGTTTGGGCCACCAAAATCACCCGTTCTAATCAAGCAATCGAACGCGCAAAAATTCGAACGTGAAACTGAAACTTTATAATGAAAGTAATTTTTTTTAAATCGTTGCATGCTCGTGACTACACGTATTTAGAACTACCCTGCCATCCCTAAAGCGGCAACTTTAAGAAAATTGCAATTTCCAGATTTTTCCCTTTACTTACAACAGAAAACCTACCTTTGTCACAAATATCACGTTTTTGCCTATACGGGAAGTGGCTTATAATTTTGATGATGATACTACCCCACCCAGCTACCCCTAAAGCAGCACTAATTTGAAAAAATTGCAATATTCTTATTTTTCCCCTTTATTAACAATATAAGCCCTACCTTTCTACCAGCCCTCATGATTCTACCTATACGGGAAGTACCTTGTACGACAATTTTGATGATTCGACTGAAACCCTCCCCTCTAAGGTGGCACTAATTTTGAGAAAATTGCATTTTTCAGATTCTTACCTTTATTTATAAGACCCAAATTTGTACCAAATATCACATTTCTACATATACGGGAAGTGCCTTATGATTTTGATGATGAGACTACCCCAACCCCTTCTCCCCTAAAGTCACATAATTTAGGGAAAATTGCAAGTTTCATATTCTTACCTGTTTTACAATGTAAGACCTACCTTTGTAGCAAATTTCATGTTTCTACCTATGCTGGAAATGCTGAGACTAGGTGATGGTTAGACTAAACTCTCTTCCACTAAAGCAGCACTAATTTTTAGAAAAGTGAAATTTTCAGATTTTGTCCTTGGCTTGCCTAAAACCTACCATTTTACGGAATTTCAGGTTCCTAGCTATTCGGGAAATATTTTATAATTTTATTGATCAGTGAGTGAGTCAATGACAAAAATGCAAATTTTGAAATTCTTCCTTTCGAAAAGGCTTAATATTAGGTGCTCAAATTTTTACAATGTTCTAAGCGTGCTAAGCTTAATTTCTATTCCAAAGCACATCTTAAGAGGAAACAAAGATATGAGGTTGAGAAAAACCGGGTGAATTGGTTCGTGTAAAGATCAAATGGCGGCTTGCTGGAAATTGGCCAGCGCACTACAGTGCGCTCAGATTTTTCTGGACTTTAAAACTTAAACGTTTATTACAAAGGTACGAGTTCTATTCATTCGGAAAAGACGGAGAACTTGTTAAGAAGTTTATGAGCTTGGATGAAATCCAGGGATTGATCGCTGGAGGGGACGAATTGGGATCCAGCGAAGAAGGACTTCCGATTTACTACAACGAACCCCTTATTCAAGCCGGCGAACCTGAAGGGGTTTCCAAGGTGTGTTTTTCTTTATTCGTTTTGAAATACAGTTTTGATCAACGAGTAACTCCGCAGGTATTGGAGAGCGTACAGAATGTGCTGAAAGGAGAGCTACAAGCTGCTGGTACCCCCGATAGAATCGACGTTCCCCATTTACCTGACGATTCCTGGTCCATGCTATTAACAGGTCTAGATATAATACATTTTATGTAGTAATAAGTCGTTCAACTATGTTTTTGTTTAGGTTTGATGAATAGTGAAGAAGACATGAAGGAGCAACATGTTAAAAACTCTTCTCCAATTACAACCAGGCCAACAACTACAGATCCTTCGTTTACTAAACCGACAACTCAGTTTTATAAAACGACCGAACGGGTTAAGACAACAACGACGCCCCGTGTGACTTCCTATCGGCCGCATTTGCACACAACCCTTGGGCAAAAAGCATCCTCGACTCCAAAGCCAATTTCCTATTTTAATAATAATCAACAAGTAAGTAATCTTCAACTTTTTAAAAAAATTTAAATACATTTATATGGTTATTTTTAAAGATTCATCAGATATCAAAGAAGCCAACATCGACTGTAAAGTACAGTGCTCACTACACGACGCCCCCGCCAAATTACTTCCATAAAACATCCCAGACGACGAAGCACTCGAACGTGAAAAAACCAACTAAAATGCCGCCCATCACAACCACTCATTTTTCGGTCACCAAAGAAACAGAAGATATGATCAGACTTCCTGAAAAAACGAGGCCAAGTGGAATTCCGACGATAATACATTATTTGCCTATTCAGAGCGTCGGTCCTTCCGATGCGCCTGCACCTAATACTACAACGTATCGACCGGCACAGCATACGCTCAAAACGAATACTAGTCAAACTCCAGTATTAGAAACGACAACAACAACGAGTACAAAACCGAGCACAACAGCTCTAAATAAAATTAAGGTTTCAGTCACGCCAACTACCCACGAGCCGACTACTTTGAAACATTCAACGCCAGCAGTCAGGCCTGTCGTAACACCGACTACTACAACAACGGCTGCATCTACACAAAAGATTTTATCAACGACGAGAAAACCGATCTCAACGACGATAGCTACAACAACCACTCAGAAGCCGACAATAACGACGGTGGCATATAAAACTACTTTGAAAAATTCGACTACACCTTCATCGCTGAATGCATTCACAAAAGTTCATCTTTCCACTCCAAAGCCTACCGAATCCAATTTGATTCCCAAACCGGAAAAATTTGTCCAAAAGATCCCACAAGCGAACCTCCAAGCAGAGAGTAGTAATGTCGAATCGGTGAATGTACAAATCCCTACAACGTACCGACCTTCTCATAACAAATTCAATTCCACAATTAGACCCTTAAGTCAGAGTACTGGCCACAAGAGCACAGTCAGATCGACAACCCCCGTTCCAATCGTCCAATTTAAAAATACAGAAACACCAGTGAGCACTCACAAGCCTGTAGTTGTAACAATGAGGAATACACAGACACCTACGACCATGCCTATGATATCTACATGGTCACAAGTGTCCTTATCGACAACTGAGCATCCTAAAAAGTCCGATACAACCCAGTCAAGCATTAAATTTACAACACCGAGTATGAAACCGTCAACGACCTCTCGTTTGACAACTACGACTAGTACGACCACAACGACACCTACAACTACAACAACTAAACCGACAACAACAAAAGCGACAACGACTAAACCGACAACAACCCAAGCGACAACGACTAAACCGACAACAACTAAACCTGCAACAACAAAAGCGACAACTAAGCCGACAACAACTAAACCGACAACAACGAAACCAACTACAACGAAACCTACAACAATGAAATTGACCACAGTGACGGAACCTCCATTTCATACGACAGAAAGTATGACTACAACCCAAGAGACGACATTGCCTCAAGAGATGACAACAAAAAGAATGCCGGTGGAAGAAATTCCTTTAAAAATTTATGAAAGTCTTAAAGATCACGAGGCAAATGTTTTCGACTTAACATCTTTGTCAGATATGACGACGGTCAAAATGTCAACAACACCAGTACCTGAATCAACAAATGCTGATTTTACCACGGCTGAGAGTACTACGTTCGATACAAAAACTACATTGGATACGCAAACAACTATGACAGAAAAAGAGCTTCAAGCGTCAGAGAGTCAAATTTTGAACCAGACACAACTTAGGACTAATGTTCAAATTACCACTACGACACAGGACTCAAGTACTTTCCCATCAACGACTTATATGACTACAATACAGCAAAATACAGAAACTACAACACCCACGGCCACGACTCTTTACAAAGATCAGGTTTTAGAAGACGGCATTTCAGCGGTGACCAATATCCTTCTGGACGGGATACAAAACTCATTTTTAAGAGAGAATTCATCCTTCGTCCCAATAGGTTCCAGCACGGAGGAAATTTTGTCTACTACAGAATTTCAAACCACGCCAGAAGAACCTTCGACAACGAATGAAAAACTAGAAACAAGGACAGTCGAAGATCATTCTGAGGTGGAAGAACTGACAACGGAAAAATTAAAAACCACCACGTTAACGACTACGAGAAAAACGACTAAAATGACGACCACTGAGAAAGCAATGTTTGCCACCACCGCTAAATCAGGTCTAGCGGCCAAGTTCAAAACAGATCTGAAGAAAGAAACCAAACCGACCAAACCGATCACCCCGACAAAAGAAAGTAAACTCAATCCGGACACACCAGAAGAAATCGAACGGAAGAAGAATCAAAAGGTAAAAGAAGAAAATTCTGCGACTACCACAGCTGCGACAACTCCCACCGCCAAGACTGAAATGCTTCAGGAAAAGGTCAAACTGCAGGAAGTCGAAAGGCCCAACAGGTAAAAATTAAAAACAAAATAAATGTAAATAGAAACTAAATAATTTATTGTGCAGATTTGCTGTAAAGAAGCCTGTCTATCAGGCGTTAGATGCCCTGCAGCCGCCTGCGGCAATCGACCTCCACCCGGCGCCATATGAATCTATGGGGCTTGAAGCCTCAACGGCATTCCTTGGAGAGGACATCCGACGGTTTGCGGATCTGTGCAACGAGCTGGGTTTTCGGTTGTGGACCTCAATGACCGGAAAGGGCCAAATCGCATCCAGGAGCATCGTCATGTCCCCTTTTGCAGCCACATCACTCCTTGCAATGGTCTTCCTTGGCGCACGTGGTGCCACCTCCGGCCAGATGAACGACATCCTGCGACTCGACGACATGGTCACGTTCAACCCACATCAAGTATTTCAAAATGTAACCGATTCCGTCATTAACTCTAAAAACTATGGTGTCGCTACGGCCGCTTTCGTCAGACAGCTATACAGCGATAAGGTAACTGATTTCAAAACAGTTCCTCATTCAATATTTACAACAGTAATTTTCATGTGTGCAGGCAAAAGGGAAAATTTTGGATTTCTACAAAGAGAGGGTCCAACAGTATTATCAAGGGCACGTGGAAGAAATCAACTTCAATGGTGTCGGCGACATTGTGAGAAGACGTACAAACCTTCTTGTAAAGAGACAGACTCTCGGAAAGGTGCCGGAATACCTTCGCGGGTCTAGCTTGACTATGAGACCTCCTCTCGCTGCATTCAGCGCTAACATCTTTCAGGTTCTTAATTATTTTTAACTGTTTCAAATATTTTCATTTCTTTATTGTAGGAACAAATAAATACTTTCTTGAACACATTCAAACATTCGGGGTAAAAAAAACTGCAGTATCATCTGCGGGTGATAATGATTTGTAAATGGTAATGATCGTATTGGGGTGTATAGGAAATTCAGCTGTATAAATTGTATAAAGGATGAGGCCTAGCATGCTTGTAGGTTGCCGGCCTGTATCAGTCTATAACACTGATTAATTCCCACAATTATTACTTAATTTCAGTAATTTCACAGTACATTTCACAACATCTGCAATAATGTTCATTACGAGCAGTACTACCACTGTATACTAAACTTAGCTATAATTTCAGACGGATTGTGAACTTGGATCGACAGAAGGCAGGGACGGTGAAATGTACTTCGTGGTCCGTCCTTCGACGAGACAGAGGCGGTTGGTTCCCGTCCCAGCAGTAGTCTGGCGTACCGGTTTCCTCGCAGGTTACGAACCGAGTCTGGACGCTACTTCAGTATGCTTGGGTGCCGAATCGATCGTATCGACAATCCTCGTCCTACCAGGTCAGCAGGGACAAGTGGCCCCTGGCGATGGTCTCGCCCGACTCGAACAGAGGCTTATAGAGACTTCGTACAGAAGGGGTGGTTGGTCCAGGCTGCTCAGGAGCCTCCTGCCGAGGCCGGGAATGGAGTTGCAAATCCCTAGATTTTCCCACAGGAGCGTGCTCAACGTGACCGCCGCACTTGTCAGGATGGGGCTGAAAGATCTGTTCGAAAACAAAGCGGACTTACGCGGTTTGAACGGCCTATCCAACGACCTCCACCTCTCCGACATGGTACAAATCAACACGTTCAGCACTTGCGGCGAAGAGACCATAGGAGCGAGGCATCACGTCGAGACCTATCCGGCTTCTCCGCAGCGAATGGGGAGAGAAGAACCCGAGTACTACCCTCCCAGAGACTTCGACAACTTTTATAGCGATATCCCGTTACCTCTCAGGCCGAGACAAGCGAGGCTACCAGACGCCCCGAGGCTCAGGTTCGACCGGCCCTTCTTGTACATGGTCAGGCATAACCCGTCAGGGATGATACTACATATGGGGAGGTTCAATCCCCGGCTCCTCCCTTGAAATAGAATCTAAGATTTTGTGATACTTCCCATCAGTTTTAGTCTCTTAATATTTAATAATGTAACGTAGATTACATAATAGAAAACAAACTGAGCTTTAATATTAAGAAAGTACTTTTTTACGATATTTTCTGTATAGAAAATTTAAAATAAATACAAGCTTTAATCGTGACAACTGGTTATACAATGAAAAATAATGGAAATGATTCCTAAGCCAAGTTTAACTTGAAAACTATATTCGTGTATATAAGCTCTAGATTCTCTTATATTCGATTTTGCTGACGTATTAATTATTTATTTCGATCCCAAATACGTTTATGTATTTCCTTTATGATTTGCGATCGAAATTGTCTCAACCTTGGTGGAATCGAAAATACACTTATTTTACAACGGCACAAAAAAATGTTGTAAATTGTACGCAATTGTAATTAGCAGATTTTATATATTAATTACATAATTAGGTAAGATTTTCATTAAGAGGTTTTTCCAATGTAATTCATTTTATTAAATATATAATTTCGTTTCCTTAGCATGTAAATTGCTGTACCTTTCCAAGGTGGAATATTTTTCAAAATAAATTATGTTTCTTTTTGAGTTTCACTACTGATTCAGACACTTAAATATATGCAATAAAAAATTGTATTGCTCTAAAAACTGATAAAGTATTGTTAATCAAATTAATGTGATGTAAGAGGAAATTGATTAATGAATGCTTCATTTTATAGATTTCCTTGTTAAATTAATTCAGATATATTTTGCTGATAATCGTTATTTTATCAAAATATTTTGATAAATAAACTCAAATATAAATAGTTTCTGGTAACATTTCTTTTAGTAATTTTGCCTTTCTCGAAAAATGATGAAATATTTACTTTTTTATCAAAGACTCTTTGTTAAGAATTTTTGAATAAGAAAGATGATAAATAATACAAACTAAAGTATTCATAGCAAAAAATGTATTTAGAAAAGAAAATGTATTGCATACAAAAAAAAACACATATGTAACTTTTAAGTCTGAATAAATTTGTCTTTACAAAACCGTTGTTTTCAATATTGTTTTCTAAATAATAAATTGTGTCTTTTATGAGATTTCCTGTTGAAACCTGTGATGTGATGAATCTACAATTTGACGAGTCCGATCGTCCTGGTCCGCAGCTCGCTGGTTTTGGTCCATGGATTCGCTGTGTTTAGCGATATATGTAGGAAATATGACAAACACACAAAATAACCGCCAGTGACCGCCAAATCTGCAAGTATAGACGGGCCAGATGATCAGGAGCAACCAAAATATAGTTTTGTACCTTCAAAACTAAAATCCCGCTTGTTCTTCATCTTCGTATTCTCGTTGATTTTAGTTGACCATTAGTTTATTAAAGTTCAAATTAAAATCAAGTAAGAAAGTCCGTAGAGCTTGGTTCTCTTCAGTCGTCTCTCAGGGTGTCGTTCTTGTAGCCGGCTTGCTTCGATGTTTTGATGTCCTGTAGGCGAGAATTTTGCTGTTAAGCATATTTTTTTACTTATCCTCAGGTCCCGATGAATATCTTTAACCTTTCCTTAATTGTTTTGAACTTTTTGTAACACAACTTTACTACTCTTTTAGGGACAACCCTATAATTCGATGCTATAGATCCAGGTAGGTTTAAGAACCTGGTTTTAAATGAGTATGTTTTTTCAATGTGTGCTCTTTACTTCAGTTTATAATGTAGCGTCATGCCTAAATACTGCATTATGCTTTGTGGCGTTTATAATTTTCTTTTTGTATTGGATGTACTGTCTGTGTTCGTTCTGCTTGTAAAGTTAAAGTGTTCAAACTTCTGGTGATTTATATTATTTACCATATTTATTTTTCTATTTTGTATCTATCCATTCATTCAATACTTACAGGCCAGTGTCATCCTCAAATTCTCCTACAGTTGTGTTTTCTGTTGGCGACAAGTCACTGTGATAAACCAAATACAGATTGGGGTCTAAGACGCTTCCCTTAGAAACACCAGGGTTTATTTCCAAACGAAGTATCCGTCCTTTTACTTTACTCGGCTTAATCAAAACTTGTATGTACTGGATTGGTAATCTTTTTTCCTTTTTTCGGGGGGGGGGGGGGTTAAAGGCAGTTCCAGACAAGTTTTGAGGTGGTCTTATAAGCTTATAAAACTATTATAGCTGCCTGGCTGTCTGTAATAACTATTATTATTGGAATTATTATTGAAAAATGGCAAAAAGGCGGGAAAATTTGAGAGGTTAGGTGGAGATGGGAGGTTGGTGTCCGAGAGGATCGAAGTGACGATAGCTCAAGTGGTAGAGTAGCGGCGTATTTAACCGAAGGTCGTGGGTTCGAATCCCGCTCGTGACAATGACTTTTTTATCTCAACCAATACCTTTCATAAATATTAATTAATTGAAAAACTATTATTATTGTTGTACCCTTAAAATGTATATTATTTATTTCACGTGCGCATGTTTCTAGTTAGTAGTTCAGCCTCTTGTTTTCTATGAGAAGCTTTAATATTCTGGGTATTAGTTTCTCCAAGAGTAAATCTCAAGGTTCAAAATAATAACATATCACTACTAAAATTTCTTAGCAAAATGAAGTAAGTTCTTTTATGAAGGAGGGCTTAAGAACCTATTAAAAAGTTGGGTGTCCCGGATACAAAAATGTATATCATCCTGCCCTCTGAGTAAAAAACAACAAGACGACATTTAGGAAGAATAAATTTTAAAATTGTACTTACTTATTTATTAAATTTCATTAATTGTGTTTATTTTTTGGAAGGTAATTGATCTAACTAAGCTAACTTTACGGATTTTCGATTTTAGCACGTCTAGCGCAATTAATTGCATTATTGTTTTGTGAATAGAACAGTGTATAAATAGTACAGTTAGTGTCAATGGAAAAATAAATATGAGAAACTTTTTTGTAATTTAATGAAATTATTGAAAGATTACAAGAAGTTATCGATAAAATTCCATTCAACCTCTAGATCAATAAATAATTTAATTAATACCAAGTTTTAACAATAATACGACGTAATTTCCTTTAAATCACTCAATTACAAACTTTTTTTTGTTAAATAGGTACATCGAAAGTCATTGTTGACATATTATTCTTATCGCTTTTTCATTTGTCCCCCTACAGAACGGTACTGGCACAAATGAATTGATAAAAAGACACGTAATATATTGAATATCTATTCTGAATCACGTTAATAGAGAGGTCTATGGGTTGTTGACTATAATGATCCGGATTAACTTTGAGAACAGGACGCAGCAGATCTGGAAGAGGGGGAGAAGGAAAGATTGACGCCCCTTCTTCAGATTCGATTAGTTGATATATACTGGGCATAGTTCTCCTACAACTCCGTCCACAAACTGTAGTTACCACGAGAAACGAGAGTTGAACTATTCTGAGCCGTATTTCACAGCAAGCAATGAAGGCATCGAAGAACGACAGCCAAGGTTCCATCCTGCAAACAGTAAGTCTTTCCTCTTTATTTTTTGTTTTTAATTAAATGCGGTATCAACTATCGACACTCGTTCATTTCCTTTTTTTTTAGTGTATTTTAATTTATGATTTATACTTTTTAAACATGTTTAAAAAATTGTGATGATAAAACATTAAAAGAACATCGATAGTTATTAAGTTCATTTCTATAGTTTTGGATTTTTTAGAAAAACATTTAATACATATGAAAAGCATTTTATTTTATATTATTAAGTGTTTGACAATACACAAGTATTATTTGATAATGTATTGTGTATAATTTGTAGTTACTTAAAATTAAGTGCGAGCAAAGAATAAGCCTCTACTCATAATTAATCTTAACTACGATAATTATTTAAAAGGATTGATGAGAAAAAACTCAAATAAGATTTAATTATCTATCCATCACTGTAATTTGGACGTACCGAACATTACGGTAAATCTGTCAGACCAACCCCGCGAGAATAGGCAGAGCAATATGGTTGATAACGACCAAAATTGTATATTTATAACCTCACAGATTACAAGATCAAAATCAAATCAAAAAATACAGAAGAGTTTGAAAATTATTCACCCCTTCCAATTAAAATCTTTTAAATAATTTTTGTTATTTTCTACTAACTCGTTCTTGATTGTCCTGTGTTCGTTGATAGATAAGATAAATAAAAGTTTTTTGTGGACGTGATTTTTAACAAACATTGTTTTCTCGCCAAAACTATTTCAAAAAATCACATACATAGTTACACCGTGTCTTGAGGGTTTTTTCCAACCCTGTGTGTGTGTGTTTGTATGTTCATACAATACTTTCTGGTCTATGCAGCATATAATTACTTACTTTCGTACATTTTTATGAATTGATGAGAAAAATTAAATAATTATCCATTAATTTCATTTAATAATATTCCATACACAGGACTTGAAATTTGGTCGATACAGTTTATTTTGACCATTGACCTCGCTGGGTTGGTATGACATATGCGATGTCGACGACCAGATCACAAGTTCATTACCACACAGGCCACACGGAGAAATATCACAAAATAACAGAAGTTTTATCATTATTACATAAACACTACTCCTTACACTCCCTCAAATAACAATCTGTCAAATAGTTGTGAGGTTATTTTATATCAATTCTTTCTTGATTGACCTGTGTTCGTTCAATATTGATTTTTGATCTATGCAACATATAATTAATTGTGTTATGTTCTTATGGGTATTTAACAATTATTTATTCATTATTGTTTATAATAATTACAGATTGGTTTTGACATGATGCACCCCTTTAAATAATAATCTGCTAAATATTTTTTGTTTTATTTTCTACCAATTCTTGCTTTTTGTCCTGTGTTCATACTATATGTGCTTTTTTTCTTTTTTTTTATATCTAGGCAATATATAATTAATTAGTCCTGAATTTTTGAAAATGTATATAAAGACCTGAGTACAATCTCGTACCGAATTGTTAATTGATGTGTTGAGTTTTGGTCTCGATTTTGCTTTCTTTTGACTTCCTAGTTTCGAATATAAATTTAGTTTTAAATTAAAAAATTAAATTCCAACAAGAAGAAAATTACAAATAAGATACACTGAGGAATATCGAGAAAACTAGGATAGTATGAATACTAACCAGACTATCAGTTTTATCTTGCTGCTGTTTTATTTGTACTTGTGTTAGTTATTTGTGCTATTTTATCTACAATTATCGAGACCCTGAAGTACAGAGAGTAGTAATAGGATAAAGAAAATAGAGAATCGGTTACCGTTCTAATTGGTTTGATCAAAACTTGGCTGGACAAACCGGAAAAGAAATTAGTAGAAATAAAACGCGATAAAGACAAGAAAATAAGCGCAAAATAGAGGGCGATAGCCAACTGCAGACCCTAAAATTAATAAACAAAAATAAAAATTAACGTATATGTGGGGAGCGTCGGTGGTCTCGGTGGTTAAGGCGTTGACATGACGTTCGTCACTATAAGTTACCGGGTTCGAATCCAGCGGCTTGCATTCGAACATACTTACAAATGGGCTTGGCATCAACAACAACACACCTCTTGCGAACCGCGTAAAAAAAGCTATTTATACAAAACTACGATAACCTAGACGGCCTAAACTTCTGTTAAAAGAAATCCGCAAAAAAAGCCTTCATGTTCAAAGATTGGGGAAAAATTAAATGTTTTACAATTAATTAAGGTTTTCAGTTGAGATAAAAAAGACAATGGCACGAGCGGGATTCGAACCCACGATCTTCGGCTTGATACGCCGCTGCTCTACCACTTGAGCTATCGTGACCTCGATCCACTCGGACATCAACTTCCTATCTCAACCCCACCTTATGAGTTTTCCCTCCTTTTTGCCATTTTTCAAATGTCGTGTAATCGGTTTGGATTCTCGACGACAATAAATGAAATGGCCACGGAGAGCTTTAGTGAAGTGTACTTCATATTAATTCGTTAAATTCACTAATTTCGTGGTCCGCTTGACCAATTAATATCTTACAATTAATTATGGTTTTCAGTCACGATAGCTCAAGTGGTAGAGCAGCGGCGTATCAAGCCGAAGATCGTGAGTTCGAATCCCGCTCGTGACAGTGACTTTTTTATCTCAACTGAAAACCTTAATTAATTGTAAGATATTAATTGGTCAAGCGGACCACGAAATTAGTAAATTGAGTAAATGTTTTATTTGATATCCTTCTCCTTGACATGTCTAAAAAACAAGTTAGAAATTAATGTAGTTTTGAATAAAATGGTTTTTTTTTTATAAATAGGAATAAAAAATTAGCCCAGAAGTGATAAGAAATACGATAGCTGTATATGTCTTGTACATTTTGACAAAATCATTACTCTTTGTTTAAGAATGGCACCATCTTTTGGTACACAGATGAATCTAGAACACAAGAAGGTACAGGGGTAGGAGTATTCGGTCCTGGAACCAAATACTCAGAACCCATGAGAAAATACACCAGTATATTCCAAGCTGTGGTTCACGCAATCGAGAGATGTACTCAGTTCAACTTGACTAAAGGGTACAAAAACAAGGGCAAATCATGTCAGATAGCCAAGCAGCCATCAAAGCACTAAGCTCAAATATCATTAGTTCAAAGATGGTGTTGAACTGCAAAACCAAATTAAAAACATTAGGTACGCAGAACAAAGTCAGCCTCTGCTGGGTCCCAGGACACATGGGAGTAGAAGGCAACAGCAAAGCGGACACCCTTGCAAGAAAAGGGACTGCTGCACCGTTGATAGGACCCGAACCCATCTGTGGCATATGAACCCTCAGACAGAAGGACAAAAAGAAAACTGAAGGAATTATGGAATTCACTCACTGGACAATCCAAGAATCTCCTAACAAATTGCGGAAGAAAAGAAATTACAGAATTTGTAACAGCAGGAATAAACTGTGAATCGTAACAGGATTCTTAACAGGACACTGCAAGCTAAATGGACACTTAAAGAAGATTGGAATAATCCAAGACGGCACATGCAAATTCTGCAAAGAGGCAGAGGAGATACCAACGCATCTTCTAACAAACTCTGGTGCTACACTTGCCCGCAAGAGGAAGTGTTTTGGGATGTACAGTATGACCATAGAAGAGATTCAACCTCTGAAACCGACCCACTAATCAAGTTCCTTGATGAAATAGGACTCACCGGTGTGCTTTAGGCAGAGAACGGTGGATACAGTAGCTCTTAAAGGACGCAGTATATTGTACCCCGACTAATACATCTACATCTACTCTGGGTTTCAATAGTGAAAAAAATTACAATAGAAATTTTAACATACAAAGATCAACACATTTTAAATTAAAATTGTTAATTAAGAAAATTAAGCAAATTAATTTTTTATGGTGTCATTATATCAATAAATTATCCTCGTCGAAAAACCATGGGAAATAAGTCGCATTTCCTTTTTTCCTAATCTTTGTATGCACAACTGCTACACTATCAGACAAATTCTACAATCTCTGACGCAAAGAAGTGAGAAAACAAAAACTAGTATTGATGCGTGGAAACTAGTTGTATCCGCTTTGGTGGAAAGATATTGAGAGTTCAGTCAAAAAGAAAATTTTTATTTTAACTCCATTATATTTCGTTGTCCGATTACCAAATACCTTCTTTCAATTAATTAATCTTTTTATGTAAGGTATTGGTTGAAATGAAAAGGTTAGTGTCACGAGCGGGATTCGAACCAACGACCTTCGGTTAAATACGCCGCTGCTCCGACCACTTTAGCTATCGTGACAATCGTAAAGTTGTTAGAGCAGCGGCGTATTTAGCCGAAGGTCGTGGGTTCGAATCCAGCTCTTGGCACTAACTTTTTCATTCCAACCAAGACCTTACATAAAAAGATTAATTAATTTATTTTAACGCAGATACTTTTAAGATAATTGCAAAAGCTTTTATTATACCAATAATAATACTATAATACTACTATGTTAAAATCAATATGAATAATTTAAGATTTTTATCGACGGCCTTTCGCCCGTTATCACCTGTGACGCGATTAATTTAAAAACGTGTGTTTCGTAAGAAGTTAGATAAATTTAGAAAACCCAGTTTAATAATAGAACTATCGTCTATTTCGATTGACGAAAAAACATCCTGATATGATTTATCCGAGTATTAATATATTTGTTTTGATTCACACTATTAATAGCGTTATTTTCCCAATCCAACAAGGCCTAAGTTTTATCTTATAATCTCAATCTTAAAATTAATATTATCTTATAAATTATTTAACTTATTTGTCCTTTATGGGCCAGTTAAAGAGAAAAAAAGCTACTTTGTACCTTGGTACTTTTTAAAACCACTGGGCTAATGTAACTAAGGCTGTGAACGAATATTATGCAATATTCCTTTGAACCTCGACCAAAATGTTTGATTAATTATTGAGAAATAGTGCTCCGTTAAAAATTCGGCTGGTCGGAAAATACCAATTTGGCATCGGTACTATTTCCTTCGGAGGTTGATAAAAAGACAATCAGACAAAAGAACGCCCAGACTATACCGTTGACAGTGGACCTACCAAAGATGATAGGTTGATATAGCAGGATAGGTAGAAAGAGGTAGAATAGATAGAAAAAAACCTAACCTTTAAATAATTTTTCTAAAACTTTTTTTCTTCCGAACAATAACCCACGGCAAAGTTTGGTATGCCTTCAGCCAGTTGTAGTTCGTTCGTGAAGTTTATGCATGTTCCCTTTCTGTATTTATCAGTACATGATACATCTAGTATTTCATGACGTTAACTGCTAATAATATGATAGCTTCCAGTCCTTAAGGGAAATATTTAGCGATATCATTGTATACAATCAATTTTTTTCTTTAGCCCTCCTCCTTCCCTGCTGTGCCAGAGGTCTCCCTCATGCAGGCAGACCCGCCACTCTCTAAACCTATATTGAAGGGGTATAATTTGTATTCTATGTGTAAATTGATTTTTGAGGAATTAGGGGACTTAATAAAAACAAGAATTTAGTTGAAAGCCAAATGAGTACACGCCTTTTTTTTTTTTTGTTCCTTACTGTTGTGCCTATCTTTAACTTGTGTTATATTAAATAAATAAATACGAGATAAAGATATCTAACAAATATTTACCGACAATAACATGACTAATGGAAGAAAACATCCCGAATTCCGTGTCGTTAGCATAACTTTCATGAACCCCGCTCAATCCGGGGCACAAGCTTATGGAATATTACATATTTTTTCGTTGTCAGCGAGCTTTCAGTGGCCAATTTAGGAAAATTCGCTTATTAGCGGCTCTCTGTGGTTTTTGTAATATACAATCTGATTCTCATACTGCAGAGTTGACAGGCGAAATCTGTGCAAGCATGACCCGAAGTTGCCATGGACTTGATCCAAAAAGATGACGTTCGCTTTTTTATTTCCGGGGAGAAGAAGTAGTTCTGCCTTTGCCATAGATCCACCAATTCTGCCACGTGTCGAGAATCCATTTTCCCTTGTGAATTTGGACGTTGACTAGCCTGTTTCACTGCCTGATCGATATCTGGCCCCTTTTTTCTCATCCAGGGTCGTTACCATTATGAAGTGCAAACCGATGGGTGGAGTTTCGGCTATGTCGTTTTATATTGTTTGTTTTTGTTCGGTACGCTTTCGTCGTATTCAGCAAAGCTAGCATCCAAGGCCCAATCAATACTTCAATGTCAATGGTATGCAACGAAACACTTAATACTGGTAGATGTCCAAGTTCGCTGCCTATCAAAATATTATGGCACAGATCTCTCTAATTTTGCGTTCGGGATATGAAAGTGGTAAAGTGGTTTTATATAGGAAATCAGTTTTATTGCACAGCACACAGTTTTCATGCGTGGGAGGAAGATTGTCGACTGGTCCTTAGTTCTTGAAGGCGGTGGATTGCTGGGCCCTCTTCTGTCACGAACTCCTCGAGAAGTATCCGGACTCAGGTGGCTAGAGTCATGGTATCTTACTCTCCTTCCATCTGGATCAGGTTCAGACTCTAACCCAGATTCTGACTCACGGCCTCTGTACTGACTATATTTCAACTGATACTGAACTGAGTCTTCATCTGACTTCCACTGACTCACAATTTCTGTATTGGCTCCGTCCCATCTGTCCCTGACTCACGGTCTCTGCACTGACACCATCTCAGTTGCAACAATTTATAGTTTCTCTGCTACATCAATAATTTTTTTCCAACAGATTATCCTTTTTTTCCAAGTGATACGAAATAAGTTTCTTGTTAAGAGTGTTAGAAAAAAGTTGGGCTTGCAACTGCACTTAATTTTCAAGTAACTATTATCTTATGTACTTTTCCTTTCATTTTATCTAATAAAATCGTGCAAAGGTGATCACTTTATTGGGTCCGCCTAGTCTTGCTGAAACCTAGCTCATGCAGGAGGATCACGGACCCCGTAAAGTTATCAAATATCGATTGGTACAACACACGTTCACTTCCTCGGAGACTAACAACTTTATATATAAAGTTCATATTATTTTTATTCTGGGTACACTTGGGTATCAAAGGGTTTTAAGTTTGCCTAAAAGCCAACTAGATGTTAACTATAGCGATATGTTCTTGTTTGGTCATCAATGAATGATTTGTAGGAGGAACGTCTCAGGTTCAGAAGAACCATTCAGACTAATAATTTAAACCTGGATTTTCGCCCGCCTCGGATCGGAGTATTCAGAACCTGGATTCTCCGTGCTTTCAAGAGCGAATTTCCAGAACGTTGTAGACGCAGGTAGGGCCAGTTCAGGCGTTTTTCTCACCGCCACTGGAAAGCGAGGATCTAGAGCTCAAAGAGCAATTTCACTTTCTAAACATTCTTTCTTCTTCTTTTACAGAAAAGATGCAGAGATCTGATGTTAATCTCTGCCTTGGGAGTGTTGGCGATTGGCTGCGGCACCCTGTACGGGCTAATGGAGCAGAACTGGGCGTTGATGTCGCCTACACGAGAAAGAGTCTTGTTCGTAGCGTGTCTGCTCGTCATATCCAGTTTCATTTTATGCTATTACATAATAGTGAGTATGCTCTCTCTCTCTCTCTCTCTCTCTCTCTCTCTCTCTCTCTCTCTCTCTCTCTCTCTCTCTTTCTTTCTAATTTATAGATGTTCTGTTATTTTCAGAAAGCCAGTCAACATAAGATGTTGGATGAGGAGACTGCCACCAACACTGAAATCGTCTGCCTCTTAATCGACAAACCGCCAAGTTACGAATCGATCGCTGAAACGCCTCCACCGTCGTACAAAGTCGCAATCGCCGAAATGTACATCGTTCCGTGTCACATCCAGCGATCTTAGAGGAAAAATCAACTTTCTGATTAAAATGCCAAATTGGGTGATACCGGAACAACAAATCCGGGCCAGAATTTTGAAACGCTTTCGATTTCTAATAATATTTTACCACGAGATTTAAACTAGTAAGAACCCGCATTTAACTAGTTATGTCTCCCGTAACATTATTTAAACTAAATATGTAAATGCGGCCTTACTAAGAAACTCTTAACGAATTGAGGTACAAAGGTTGTCATTTTTGTTAGAATTTCTATTGTGTATGAACAAAACGTATACCTCTTAACTTAGCTTTCGAAAAAAATCAGCGTCCGGATTAAATAACCATAATCTTGGTAAATGAGCTTTCTTCAAACACTTAATGTGCTAATAAGTTAATATATGTTTGGCTGGCATATGACTAGCGGAACCACAATGCAGAAGGCTCGCGGTTTATTTAGACGGTACCATGAAAAAAAATATACATGTTAAGATCAAAAAACTATGGAAACGTACCTGTTGAAACATGTTGTTACTACTACTTTGGTTTATGTGTATATTTGGTTTTCCTATCTACTGTATCTTCCAGTTTATTTATTTTTCTCTTCCTATACGTCTAAGTGTCGTTTATCTGAATACTTCGAAATGTAATTAATTAAACGTGTATTTAATGTATTGTTTCACTATGTATGTATTCATGATTTCAAATGACAAATACAATGCAAAAGTAATTAAGCTACGATAATTGTAATCTTGATATTCAAGTTAAAAATGTTTATTCGTTAAGTTTTAGAATTAAAAAAATGTTTATAACAAAGAATAAACGAGAAAAAGTATGATAATCTGACTATCATATTATCTGTAAACCCAATAATCTTCAGACAAAATCAATATTATAAATAGAAATATACCTATTTATTTAGCTTTTAAATCAATTTTATGAGGTACATAAGTATCATTTGACATATTAAAATCCGTTCCTTGGCAGAACCCCATAGATCTACTTCGCAGTGGTCATGGTAATATCTTGTATAGAGTTAGTTAATCTAAGAGAAACCAGCCAAAGATGGTACTCAACATATTAAGGGGCAAGATGGTCTGGAGGTCAACAAACGTTGTTTAAGGCGACGAGGTGGATTCTCGGCATGATAAAGTGGAAAGAGGGCTTGGGCAGTTCTGTAATGATGAATTGAGAGCTGTGTAGGGAACTTTTGGATCAGTTCGTTGACGAATTAAATGAGGTCGCAGTAAAGAGTTTTGTTGGAATGATTTTGACTGAAATAGAGTTAACTGAGTTTTGATGATTGCAACAGTCTTTGTTTGTTGTCTCTTAAGTGCTGTGCAGGGTATTTTCGTCGATCTGCTGTCTAGCTCCTAAGTATCCCACTTAAGTGGAAGTCGGTAGCTTCTTGTAATTGATGTAACATTGTTTTATCAGTGTAAATCTTCACTGGGTACATTTTTCCTAATTTGGTCTTCATCCACTTTATGCACCAGGCTTTGGTGATAAGCTCAAGGAATTCTTGGTTGTTGAAGGTTGCTTGGAAAGGTTTTACATACAACTTCATTGAATTAGATAGTAAGTAACAATGAGAATATACAGTTAATTCAAGAGTGAAAAAAACTACCGTTGGCAGTACTCCAGTAGCATTATCATATTGTCCATTTGATTATGACTAGTGTCAGTCACTTTCACTGTCGTTGTAAAGGATATCTCATGGCCATCGCCTCTTCAGTGGGCGAGAGAGGGATAAGAGAATTCGTCGGGCTGCGAGTTGTTGGATTTGAGGAATTATAGGATAGTTGATAGGGTGTTGTGAAGTTTGCGGTAACGGAAATGGATTGCATCTTGGGAAAAAAATAATATTTAAGTCTGTAGTGGTTGGACACAGAAAATGGAGCATCGAGGATTTTTTCTGAAAATTATAGATTTGGCAGTTTGGGGGGATATTTGGCTGAACCCCACACTTCCAGTCAGTGTCCATACCGGCTTACTAAGCAGCTGGTGTTGTAAAGCGGCTTTTTATTTGTGAGTCGTAAATTAGAATGTTTGTCATTAAGTCGTGAAAGTGCCATGTACAGTTTCATAACTTCTTGAGATTTTAGCCATGTATGGGGTCTTCGTCATAAATTTGCCGATGTACAGTCCTACATCGGACACCTTGTCCGAAGTTAAGAGGAAGAAGGAAAAACTAGAGGAGGGTTTTTCCCCGTAGTGTGAGTTCCTTTGAGAGTAAATGTCAGAAGCGGAGTTGCTAAAGAGGATTGCTGCATCGTCTGCAATAGTGAGTGTGGCGGTTCGAGGATGGGATGGGATATGAACACCTGGTAAAGCGTGGGGGCCAGAGTGCAACCCTGAAAAACTCTAACATGAATAAGGAAATATACAGAAAGGGGTTTGCCTTCAATTACTCAGAAAAACCGATTAATGAGGTAACTGAGCACTATCTGATATTAGATAGAGGGAAGGATGCCTCTTCCTATGCAGTAATAGTGCAAATGATGGTAACAAAAGTGTTAATTAAATAGACATTTTAGTATCATTGGAGTACTGCCAATGGGTATTTTCTCCACATATTTTTAACTGTATATCCATATATTTATGTCATTGTGACATGTTACCAAATTGAAAGAAGCTGTATTGCAGATTTTAAAAACATTAGGTGTTATTGTTTTGAGAACAAGGATGTGTTCCTCTTTTATTAAATGAAAAGATCCTTTGTGTTCGACTATCACCGCAGTGAAGCGTATGTTCACATGATGTCGTATGTGTTGCAGCTCATGTTGACTCGTCTAGACTCACTCGATTACAAACTGTGCTTTGAAATTAATGGTGTGAACATGTGTAAATTAACTTGTATTTAATAAAACATATGGCAAATCAAACAAACTTTACTTCAATATTTGTCGTGTATTTCATCAATGATGGGTGCAATGTCATTTTGTTTTACGAAACGTATCTACCGCCAGACAATGAATGGTATTGCGCGCGAAATGAGTTCCGAGAGCGCCGGTGAGTTCCACCCTCTCAAAAACCCAAAAATCCATGCTCTGAAAAAGGGTACCGGGGGCAGGTCCAGTTTCAGTGGCATGGTAGCGACAGTTTTCGGTGCTTCGGGCTTCCTCGGCCGCTACGTCTGCAACCGTCTCGGCAAAATCGGCACCCAGTTGATTATCCCATACGGCGGGACACACTACGATGTACGGAGACTCAAGCTGGTCGGCGACCTGGGCCAGGTGCTCTTCCAGCCGTTCCAGCTCGATGATTACGACTCCATCCTTAAGTGCGTCCAGTATTCGAATGTCGTCATCAACCTGATCGGCCGCGACTGGGAGACGAAAAACTTCAGCTACGATGATGTCCACGTCCAAGGTGCACGCTGTATCGCCGAAGCCTGCAAGGACGCCGGAGTGGAGACTTTCGTCCACGTCTCCGCGCTTAACGCAGCCGAAAAACTGAACGGCTACTTGATCAAAGGTGGTTCGCAATTCTTGCTCAGCAAATGGGAAGGAGAAAAAGAAGTTAAGCAAGTTTTCCCGGATGTCATCATTTTCCGTCCAGCTGATATTTACGGCCAAGAAGATAGATTCTTAAGGTATTGTATTTTTCAAATTACTACTAGACTACAAATAAATTAATAAATCGTATCACCTGATAATATCTACCAAAGTACCTTTTAACTTCAGAAAATATTTAATAACCTTATGCAGGAGTTTCACACTATTAAAAATCATTAGTTTTTTTATATTGTCTTTTTTATTACAGTTAATTCTACCATTGTTTAGCTGTTAGAATTATTAACCAGGGTTCTCAACAGAAGTCATATCAACCTTCGGGGTGTCAAATACAGGACTGCTGGATTTGAACCCGGAACCTTTACCTTACAGTAATAACCGTCGTGTCAAAGCCGACGCCCCATAAAGGAAAGATGAAAGTGCTAAAGGGAGAAACCCTTCGACTTCGATATGACAAAAATATTTACGTACTTTGATTGTACAGGCAAATTCGTCAGATCTTTTTCCACCAGAACTCCCAATCACTATGTTGTCTATCACCCTGTTCCGATTTTGGCGAGAAGAATTCTGTTTTATAGTTTGTGTTCAATGTCATATTGAGTGTGTTTATCGGCGTGAATTTATGGTTTGAAATGGCTTGATGATAGGCACTAAATGAGTAAACGGTTTTTTATATATGAAAGATTGTTTTAAGAATGAGTGAGAGTGAGAAAGAATTTTAGTACGTATGAGTATGAATTAAGTTAAAAATTGAATGAATATGGGCTAAATGACGTAGTTCTCAGTAACCTCATAGGTTAACTGCATTGGTGAGATCGGACAAGACCGAGGTTCACCCACAAATAACCTGAATAGGTGATTTTCACGGCTTGCCGTCCAATATAATATTTGAATTATTTTCTTTTAGGTATTTTTGCGGAAATTGGAGGCGTCAATTGAAATGGATGCCGCTTTACAAGAAAGGAGAGGCGACGGAAAAGCAGCCTGTATACGTGTGTGATGTTGCGGCGGGGATCGTCGCAGCGTGCCTTAACTGGAAAAGGGCGAAAGGAAACATCTATCAGGCCGTAGGTCCGAGCAGATACCTTCTTTCTGAGCTCATCGACTGGTTTTACCGTGTCACAAGAAAAAGCACTGAATGGGGTTTCTGCCGTTACGATATCGAAAAAGATCCTACGTTTAAACTGAAGGTGAACGGTATGCAGTACCTATCGTTCAATTGGCCCATCGGCAATATCTTATGGGATAAAATCGAACGGGAAGCCTACAGCGATGTTATCGATCCAAACTTGCCTACCCTCGAGGACCTGGGTGTCGTTCTGACACACATGGAAAATCAGGTGCCGTGGGAGTTAAAGCCGTACCGAGCGTATGCATATTACAATGAAGAGCTCGGAGAGTTCGAGGCGCCGGCCCCGCCGAAAAAAGTCAACGCAATCGGCGTAACAGAGAATCTTAAAGCAGAAGAGGCCGAAAACAGTGAAGATAGCGACAGTGATAATAGCGACGAGGAGAATGTCAGTGCGCTTACACGAACACAACGCAACAGTAAAAAATGCATCACACTTCAAGAAAGCAGAGAAAAAGCAAGTGTAAAGTCTGACAATAAAGCCAATAAATTATTGGACAGTATAAAAATATTAGCTGCTCTCAAAGCAAACCTGCTTAAGGGTGCAAAGCTCGAAGCCGTTTACAAAGCAATGCCGAAAGGTGCTGTTAAGAAATTATTCAGTCAAGTTAGAAAAATGTTTAAAAATATTAAAAAATCGAAGAAAAAATAAATAAAAATTAATTACTTAAAATCAATTTTTTACTTGACTTACTGATGTTGTCGATTTTTGAAATGAATAAAACTTAGATGGAAACTTTGATGTTGGGTTCGTAGTGTTTTTATACCACTTTTTTCCCTGTTTTGTATTATACATTAAGCATTGGCCCAAATTGATTGTGATAAATTCGTTCGTTGCTTAAAGTAAAATACGTCTATGTCTAAGGGTTTTTTGCGGTATCATGTTCCAATAGTACGGTGGCGTGAAATCTGACATATTCTACCAGAATAGACGTACCTGCGATAACGTCAACTTCAAATTATGATTGATTAGTTAACTTGATGTATTAAACAAAGTTTGGAAAATAACATAATTTCTTTATCTTTTAAATTGTGGTTTTTCCCCAATTCGTTACCTTGGAGAGATCTGTCCTGACTCACCGATCGTTTGTAAACTTTACCATTGGTTAGTTTGCTATTTATAAATGAAGATGACTCTGGAGTCTAAGAGGCGGGCATTTTATGTTCTCCGAGCACTGCAGCGTTTTGGCTTATTGTTCCTAGTTCCTTGGTTCAGTCAATCGACTCGATCCTTCTCCTAAGAGGTACTAGGTCATTGACTGTCATGGCTACAAAAATTCCGTTCCCTGCGTTTTCTTTGTATCCCAGGTCGTGTCCCCATTGAGCTGTTGCATAGATTTCGAAGATGATATAGGTTTCTTCTTCATGTGATGGAGATGTTTTTTCAGATGCCAGTGTCCAGTACATAGTCTCACGCCTCTGAATTTAGCTCTCTCTAACTAGTAACTGGCGTTTGCTAATATTGATGAGAGTGCTTTTATCATCATCAAGCTAAGAGTATCTTAAGAGTATATCACAAAAATCTGGGACGTCAAGAGATTGTTTATTTCTCCTTTTTCTCTTTTTTTTATCCAATCAGTGTTTGTTTTTGTCATCTCAAGTTCAGGGCCTAATGGTCTTGCAGATCCTACTCTCGCCAGTTTGTCTCTCCCTCGAATTACCCGAAATTCCATTTTGTCCTGGCTCCCAAAATATAAGATTGTTACGTTTTCCCAGATTTTGATGATTTTGGATGCATTCACTGACTACTTTAGATGTGACCTTTAACATGTGAATACTTTAATATCTGCTTGACTATCGGACTTTATGAGGGTTTTTTTTTAAGGTGTCATTGTAACCTTTTCTTATTTACAAAGTACCAGGTAAAAGCGTCTTATTTAAGTTATTGGGTTCGTAAGGTAAAATGTAATATGGTGAATGCTAACCAGGCTTTTTTTTCAATTGTGAGAAAGAGGACGAGAGAGATTGAGAAAGAAAGTGTGAGAGAGGGAAAAAGAGAGCATAAAACAAAGAAAGAGAAAGAAAAAGATCAAGAATGAGAGAGCGTGAAAGAGAGAGAGAGAGAGAGAGAGAGAGAGAGAGAAAGAGATAGTGAGAGAGAAAGGTAGATAGGTATATATATATATATATATATAGAGAGAGAGAGAGAGAGAGTTGAGAGAGACAGTGCATACTCACTATTGGAGGGAACGGTAGAGATTGAGAAAGAAAATGTGAAAGAAAGAAAAAGAAAGAAAGTGAGAGGGGGGTAAGAGAAAGAGATAAAGAATGTGAAAGCGTGAAAGAGAGAGATAGAGGGTGGAGAATTTAATCCAGGCATTTTCTTTTTCAACTGTAGAATCCTCTCGTATTCCTTTTTTTGATGATGAACGATGATGAATCTGATGAATCATAGAGAGAACATGAATGATAAAATGAGAGAGAAAAAGAGAAAAAAAATGAGAGTGCGTGAAAGAGAAAGATAGAGAATGAGCGTGAAAGAGAAAGAGAGAGAGAGAAAGAGAGAGAGAGAGAGAGAGAGAGAGAGAGAGAAAGAGAGAGAGAGAGAGAGAGAGCGAGAGAGAGTGATTGATGCGTTTATTTATACACGTCGAATTAGAATCCTGACCCTCCCTCTTTATATTCAACAAGTAAAGAGAGATGGAGAGAGAAATAGTGAGTGAACGTGTAGTGAGAAAGGAAAAAAAGAAAGGGAGATAGAGAGAGAAAAACAGTGAGTGAACCAGTAGGGGAAAAGGAAAGAAAGAAAGGGAGAGAGAGAGAAACAGTGAGTGAGCGTGTAGGGAGAAAGGAAATAAAGGGAGATTGAGAGAGAGAGAAAGAGAAACAATGAGTGAGCGTGTAGGGAGAAAGGAAATAAAGGGAGATTGAGAGAGAGAAACAGTGAGTGAGCGTGTAGGGAGAAAAGAAATAAAGAAAGGGAGATAGAGAGAGAAAAACAGTGAGTGAACGTGTTGGGAGAAAGGAAATAAAGAAAGGGAGATAGAGAGAGAGAGAAACAGTGAGTGAGCGTGTAGGGAGAAAAGAAAGAAAGAAAGGTAGATTGAGAGAGAGAGATAACGAGAGAGAGAGAGAGAGAGAGAGGGAGGGAGGGAGAAGAGCGAAAGAAAGAGTGAGAGGAAGCGTGAAATACAAAGAGAGGGAAAGGGAGAGCGTGAATGAACGAGAGAGATACAAAGTGAGAGAACGGGAAAGAGAAAGAGTGAGGGTGATGTAGAGATTTATCTTTGTCAAATGAAAAAGGTCTCAGGATATATAAGTGCCCCAATAAAGCGGATTTTATAAAACGCCCCGTTACTCATCGCCGACAAGCACATGTCATATTTTGATTTGGATTTTTATTACGCACTCTTGATTTTTGTTCAACAGCTACTGTTATCGTTTTATCAGTTCTCAAGTTCCTTGGTGAGAGTAACGTTGAACGCATGGTAGTGGTGAGATTAAATGTCGCATTGTCGCAACGACGTAAGTCAAACTTTACATACTGTATAGCAATATTATTATCAATTCAAGAAATTATATTTAAATAAGTATAACGAATTATACAAAACAAAAGAAAATTATATTATTATATTTGCAAGGATAATATATACATATAATTTTGTTTTCTACTTTTTTTCGGACTGGTTTTTGTGATGTACTTCAACTGGGATGTGCTGGAACTAATCGGGCCCATTTGCTTTTACTTGTTTTATCGAAATCGATCTTTTAAATAAAAAAAAGGAAAAAAATACACGGGTCTGATTAGTTCTAACACTTCCCAAATGAAGTAAATAATATATAAAGCATTTCAGTTGCGTGAACAGAGTTATAATTCACTAATATATTCATTTACATCAATTTTTGTGCAATGTTATTTGTTAGTTCGCAGAAGAAAAAAAATGCAAATATACATAGCTATCGATATGATATCTTACAATGTTTGCTTAAATTAATTAATCAATTATTACGTTGTTTTAGGTTGTGTAATACCAAAAACTGCTAAATGATATATCCACGGACGCCCTAAAGCGTCACGCCAACCATGTCTGCACTAATTGCATGAAATTAATTATGTTGGTTATTTAAAAAGAAAATCTTTATTGAATTCATTTAATCGGTAGTTTTTTCTATTTTGTTTTAAAAGTAAAGTTGCAATTATAAACCAGTTATGCAGTCAGTAACAGTTTCAAAAGTCATTCTAATATCCTAAAATATCAAAGATCAAGGTAACTTTGCACAAGCCTCGTCGTCTTCAATTATCAACAAAACCGATTAACTCCTAGAAATTTAATCAGAAATAAACAAGGATATGGCATTGGCAAAAAAAAAAAAATGTAAAAAAACATTAGATGTACTCTAAAATCAAACCAATCTGGTTTAAACCTGTAACGCTGGGGGGGGAGGCACTGGTATGATTTTATAGAGCAACCCAGCATGGTTAAAAATGTATAATTAACAAAAAAATTTAATAAAAATTGAACTAATCACTCGAATAAAAACAACAATAAAATTTATTCTTTCATATAAATTGACGACTTAACGCAATATTTGATATTAAAAACCTAATTCTCACAGATTTAAATATTATTCTATCAGAATCTCAATGCAAGGATCGTTTTGTTTTAGCGGAATTTTGGTCGTTTCTGGCTAAAGAAATTTAAAAAACATGTAAGTATACTCGTCACAGGTTTCTAAATAACGTTATTATTGAGTTTGACCACTATGTGTGATATTATATTTTATTTAATAACTTGTTGGATTTGTGAGGAGCGGTCAAGAATGAGGTAGTTTAAAAAATAACTTTTTCATTTTTTTGCCTACGTTTCGACCTTTATTCGGGTCTTCTTCAGAACCTGGGTGAATTACAAAACATGTTGATTGGAAAAAATACAATACAGTTGTAAGTATAAACTTTGAACCAAGTATTTCATACTCACGATTCACAACAATTTCATACAACACCAATATGCACGCCCAGAAAAGTACAATACTTTATGTGAGTAATACAAATCCAACAAATTATTAAGCAACTGGTCACTAAAAAAATATATATTAAAAAAACACATTTTATTTAATGATTATTTATTATTACAATAATTTTTTACACCTTGTTTATGATGGAACTAAAACCATCTATAGTTGGTCATCTTCAATCATGCTATTGTGCCTATCATCACATGATGATACACGATGACTAAACTACAGTCGATTTGCAGGTTTTAACACTATTTTTCAACCCACCATAGGAAATATAATGCACCACCTGCGTAATCGGACTCTGGTAAAATTTTCTATTTAAAACTAATATCTTGGTCAAAATTCTTGAGATTGAATGTATTTATTAGCGTGAATGTGTAGTGCGAGAGGATGTTGGAATAAAAAAGAAATTAAAAAACGAATTTATTGGTGAATACTGAAAAAAAATTAATTCAATTCAAAATTTAAAAAACATTTGTAGAGTTCAGAAAAAAAAAGCAAAAAGCATTAGGATGAATAACATAAAATTAGGTATTTGAAAATGTCTCCATCGAAACATTTCTCAGTAGTACTAGCATATTAATATAAGCTTTTTTTATCATGCTGCAATTGTAATTTTTGCTTCAAAAAAGTGGCTTTGGTGTAAGTTTTAGCCTTGATGTGGCCACAGTGAAAGAAGTCGAGAAATTCAAGATCTTTCAAAAAAGCTAGAGACTTGAAGTATACCCCATAAGTTCAATAATTTTGCCTTCAAATGTGATCCTCACTTAATTTGATGATAGTACATATTCATGTGCTGACACCCGTGGTGATGGAAAAAAATATTTTTAAAATGTCACTTCAATACAGTATGATTTTGACAATGTTTGACAAATTTCTTTTATTAATGCCTTTACGTTGCAAATTGAAATTGAATTCCTTCCTGTTTATGAAGATCCACAATCCAGATTATTGTGGTGCATTGTATTTCCTACGGTGTGTCTAAAAAAGCACCACTGGTTGCATCAAACAAAATGAGTAGTTGAAAAGGCAATTTTGAATTGAATTTTAAAAACATTAGAACAAGTTTGATTTATCTAAATAAAGAAAAATAAGTTATTCTGTGGCAATCAAATAATAATTTTAATTTTAGGTTAGGGGACCGCGGTAGCTGAGTGGTTAGCATGAGAGACTCTCGGCTCATAGACGCCACGGTCGTGGGTTCGATTCCCACCATCGCCTCTTGCCCTTTTTTCACGATAAACCCCCCCCCCCAAATATTAACATACATACATACAAGAATTCGTCACCATGGCTAAATATGCATAGATCATAAGGCAAAAAAAAAAACATTTAGGTTAATTATTTAACATATTATAATTTGTAATTTAATCGTTATTAATCATCATGTTTGCTTATCCTAGACCAGAGACACACTGTTCATGGTAGACCAGCCGTAAGATAGTATACCAAGAATATCACTAACGATCAAATTACAGATTGCCGCATAGACCAAAGGAGGAAATCTCACGATATTTTAATTTTTCTAATCTAATTTTATTAGATTTTAACTTTTAAAACCTTTATAAAGCAAATTAAGAACACTGTCATTATACAACTTTAAAAGGAAAATTCTTAGACATTAAATGATGGCGTTATTATTTCCTTTTCTGAACTAAAACAATCATTGATTATTTTATCTTCTTATTGGTCAATTCTCAGCATTAATGACTGGCCAAAGACTAAATTACAGGTCCATCACCCCACAGACCTCATATAGAAATCTCACAATTAATAAAATATCACCTTTTATACCTATTATATAACAAGCCTAATTGAGAGACAAATAGGTACTTAATATTCTGCCCTCGGCCCTCTCACACACTCGCACTAATGAATGCATTCCATCTCAACACACAAAACTATCAGTACTATATATAATAAAACAATCCTATGACCCTATTTCCGCCAAAAATTGGGAATTGGGACATGGAATACCCACTGTTGTTCTGAAGCACTATTCTCATAGTGGGTGGCAATCCTACATACTTTCTATATGAAGCCGAGGAATGGCATCCTTCAATTAAATGGGACACATCGATCAACCTTTCTCTACATGCCGGACATATACGTAGGCTTTGACCCGAAATTAAGGCTCCTTGTGCCATGGCCTATCTTTAATCGGGTGAAGATGATCCATTTTGTATGAGTAGGATCCAAGGCACACCTAAGAACAGTGCTCTTGACATGTGATAGCTTCTCTGCCGATCCAGTCCTTTGACACAGCCACTTTCTTTTAGTATTTTTGTTTGTTTTTTTGTTTTGTTTTTAAATGCATTTTTAGCAACAGAGGACTGGATCACAGTGGTCATGTCCAGAGAGGTTATCCCAACCTTAGCCGTCTCGTCCAACTTTTCATTACCCTACAGACCTATGTGTCCGGGAACCTAGACAACAACCACCTTTCTTTTTTCACGTGACATAATTGAAATGTGTTAAAATATCCTTGGTTTTGCTTCTCCATTTCACTAATTAACATTTCTGATACAATATACAATAATTTATTATTAGTTTTTAGTAAACTACACTAATGGAGTCCTGATTTGAGAAAAGTTATAGCTTTGAAATTTCTATGGAAATACATGTTAGTTTTTTCAGTAAATTCTTGTTTATCTTCAATAAAAATTTCGTGTTCAATTGCATAGATTCAAAACAAGAGGAAATTAGTTACAGCATATCAATTCAGCATAAATTAATTAATTTAATATAATATGTACACCACTGTATTGGGTTTTTCCTGCTTCATCGTACCATCAGATATGAGTATAAGATTGACCAACATAAACAATTAAACATGATTATAATGGTTTCAATAATAAGTAATGAGTTTTTATTTATTTTTTTATTTATTTATTTTTTTTTTTTAAGATTACTTGGTTTCCAAAACTAGCTGGCCTTTTAATAGCAACTATTTATTTTGTTGCTATCACACTAGTTCATGATTCACCTTATGTGTGGCTTAGTCTTACACTTGTTGTGATACTCTGTTTGACCACGTTCGCTTGCAGAAGTGACAAACCAATCCTTCGATTCAGCAGGCCTAGAGAAAGCAATGCTCAGGTTCTTTCCTTTTCTTTTCTTTTTTTTTTTTTTTTACCTGATTTTATGTTGTTTTTATTCACAGGAAGATGTTCCGCAAACACCACAAATTTGGACAACTGACGTACCACCAAGCTACTCATTCATCATGGAGAATCAGAGTATCGCACCTAGTGTGCTTCTAAGCCAGCCCGGGTCGCCAGGGACACCTCCGCCGACCTATGGATCCGTCTTTAAATTTCCAGGTAAATTTTCAAATTTTGGTTAAACAGATTATTCATTAACAGCCAAAACCGTGTTGAATTTCAGCACCAAATCAGATTATAAAAACAAAAGAGACCTCGATTACGTCACCTCTGATGCTGAGACAAGTACTGGGCAAGAACTTATTCCTGTCTGTATCGCGTCAGGTATCATTTGAGAACCAACTTGAAAAGGAGAACCCAATGCAAATCACAAGGCAAAATTCTGAAACATCTATAGGTGACGATATCTCTGGAATTATAATTGTCTGCAAGCCACAGAGGATGATGACATCCTCATTGAACTCGCAAAACCCTGCAATAAGTTCTACAAACGCACCTCACTCAGCTCCTCACAGTAATGAGTGTAGTGCGACTTCATCTGTTGAAACTAAGGAAAGTCAAAAAGATTGATTTTAATAGTTGAATCTTTAATTGAATTGAGTGATTAATTTTATTTTAACGACTATTTTAATTTAGTTATGTCAGTTTGTATTGTTTTCTACTTTTTGTAAATATAATTTTTTTAAGCGTGAATTTCATTTATATAATGACCACTGTAGTCAATAAAATTCATGACATATATCAATCGTGATGTTGAATTTATTTTTAGTTGGTTATTTCTTAGTTGACCCTCTTCATATCAAGAATTTAGCCTGCCTAGGTTAGCTGCACATCTACAGCACATACCAGCCAAGGTTAATGTTTTATTTTTGAGGTCATTTTACAGGTGAATAAAAAACATAATTATTAGGTTTCACCAAGCTTTCGGCGAATGTTCCTATGAGTGTCACTAGATTTTAAGCAAGACTATTTTATTTTATTTATTTAATTTTTTTTCAGTGTGTACATTCATTTCCACCTTCATTTAAAAAAAAAAAACATGTGCAATAAATTTAATTGTCTTAAAAAACTGGGTAAAGTACGTAATTTTATTCTTATAATGTATGTGTATATGATGTTTTATCTAACTCTGTTAATGTAAATTTGTTTTCAATAAATTAGGCTCTGAAGATGGCGGAACATTGGCTTCCAAAAACTCATACCAAGTTAACCATTTTATCGTTTAATCTCTGGCAAGTAAAAAATTCAAGTTCTAACTCATATCAAATTCTTATGGAAATTTGCCTTTATTTATCAATTTTTGTTTCACTTTACAAAAGCATAGTAACTAGCATTCTAAACTGGCAGTACGATATATCCAAGCTAGAGGTTCATGGTCAAATTAGACATCAAAATTCAACTATCTGGTGGGTCCATACCTTAAAAATTTATTCTGAATGCTTTCACCACAAATATTTTTGGCAGAAATTGAAAAATATTTAGGCTGTGCAGCATGTCTTCACTGAAGTTATAGACAGACTAGCGGAAAATCATTGCATCAGAAGCATCCTCATCGAGAGGCTTTATGTGGCACAAATCCTTTTGTTTGTCAAAAAACCGACTAGGTCCCAGAGCATGTGCGTTGAATGTGAGATAAATTCTTGCATGTGTTGAAATCCCCGCACATGCACAAAAATTTATCCGATGCATATTCAGCACAAATTTTTATAGGTGTGGACCCACATTAATGGATACACATTTTTGTCATTTGATAAAAAGGTTCCAGGCCAATGGCTAGAGCATGGAGAGCATGAGACCACGAGTAACCTGTTTACATACTTAAAGGGGGGGGGGGTACGCTACAAGCACAAGGAATTACTGCATAGAATTACACTCAAAATATAAAAAAAAACGTAATTTTAGATTTATTCTTTATTTTAACCATTTGTGAGCCTTATAATAAATCTATTGTAATTTCAGTTATAAATTTTAGTATAATTTGGATAGCATTTGGGCACTCTTATAAAAAGAAAATAAAGGGAATCACTTTGCATCTTTGTCCTTGTCCTTTTCCTTGGGTTGCTTGTCTTTCTCAGCCTGGCTGACTGCTTGTTTTACTGCTTCACTTTGCATGTCCACACCAGGAAGATTTTCAAAGACACTTCTTAGAAAGGCTGGATCACTTATCACCTGGTTATAATCTTCGACTTCCATCGGTTTTGCTTCTTCTTCTTCTTCTTTTTTCACTTCTCCCGAACCACTTGGCTCTTCTATAAAATAAATAAATAAATTCAAGGAGTTTTAAAAAACTACGATAATTTGAACTGTACGTGTGTCCTGCATTGACATCTGCATGGCAAAAGCAATCTGTTCTTCCTCGGTCATGTTGGCAAAATCATGCTGTGGTGTGTCTAGAGACATTGCAAGAGCGCGTTCCAACATTGCCATCTCACCAGCTAAAACAAATATAGTCAAAATCCATAAGAAAAACATAGCCTTTTTACCCTACTTTCTTGTGTCGGCTCAGGCTTGGGAGGCTGTGTTTCAGCAGCGTTCATTGCATCTTGGCGTTGCCTTTGTTCTTCCATAGAAACACGAAGAGCCTAAAATCAAAAACGTACAGTTTACTTACTGTGTTTGTTTTTTGTTTTTTTTTGTTTGTTTTTAATAATTCTAGTATAAAAAGTACCAAAGCTAATTCAGGATCTTCATTAGGATCAACGCCAAACTCAAAGCCAGCACCACCTAATCCGGCTCCTCCCATTCCATCTTCACCCTGTCAATTTTCAAATAATTAAAATTAAATTAAACAAAATTATATAATATAAATCAGCATTTTGAATACCTGAATGACAGGAGAAGAAATAAGAGCATCAGAGAGATGAGGACCCGGTGGGACTGTGACAAGGTGGCTGCTTCCACCATCTTTCCCATTCAACGTGTTAATAAATACTGTCAAAAGGTCATTGTTTTTCATCTGTAAAGCATGTTTTACATTACGTATACAATTTTTATCAATATAATTGAAATTATACTTCTTCTCCTAGGCTAACGATATCAACGTTGACTTTTTCTTTTTTCAATCTCTTGGCAAGCTTAACAAGCTCCTTGTCATCAAGCCCGACAGGACTCCCGACAAACACAACGATTCTCATTTTATGGTTTTTCCCCTGTCTATGCTTCAGAGCCAACTAAAATCAATAAATAAATTGCAGAGTTTAATTAGAATTGTAAGAAATATTGTTTTTTCAACTCACATGAGCAATCCTAATTCCAGTTAGAAGGTTGATATTCCCATTGGGGCTAACTTGATGGAGCTTAGAAAGAATTCTACCCACATCAGTAGTTAAAGTAACTAGAACTTCGACACTAAAAAAATTTTTAAATAAAATAAATTTAAAATAATGAAAAATACAATGCACAATGTTAGAATGTTTTTGACATAAAATAACATCTTTACTACAAGGTTTTCAATACTTTGAAATAATTATTTCATACTATCAATCACATAGAGTACATGCTTGTAGCTACCATCAGACCATTTAATCGCGTACAACCCCTAGATTAATTCCGGCCCCACTACTCTCATTTCAGATTGTCTTAGTGTTTTAAATTATCGGACAAAAATCAGAATCAGTCTGATTTTGACCTGAGCCGTCATCTTTTGCTCAATATCTTGGACGTGCCCTCTTTAACCTTTTTGGGTCTAGTGGTGAGTTATTTCATTCAGGCTTAGAGGCTCTAGGTATGATCTTGTTCTCGTTTTATGCTTTTTAAGAGCTACAGCTGGACCCTCATGGCATTTATTGGGCTGATGTTCTATCCAATGTGCAGCATGCCTAGGTAGTAAATGCACACCTCCCACATCCTTACATTCCTTTCTTCATCATCAGCAAACTACTCGTTCCCCTCCTTTGTTTACAGTCTGGCCTCTCGCAAATTTTTGCAAAATTGGGACACACTCATTTTTCTGGAAAACCATTTGGGCATAATATCTCATTGGGAACACCTCTCACCCCTGCCCTTCCCAATTCTCTACCCAATTGATTTCTGATTTTCCTCTCTGGGAAGTGCCCCTAAAGTTTTAGTTTTACATCGACTACATTCACAGTAATTTTCAGAATATATTTTTGTTTTTATTGTGCTTATTTATTAGGCTGGGTTGGTCACGTAGGGGAATGCTTTTTAGCATCCAAAAAACAGTCCCAAAAAGGGTAAGCAGTCATCATTCCGTACTTACATCAACTCACAATCTCATTTTGTGTGAGCTTTGTTTGAGAGTCATTCTTCATCCCATCACAGGGAGTCTGGTTTTGGCCATTATGACAAGCAACCTCATTATTATGAGTAAAAAAGTTCACAGCCCGTTTACCCTATAGCAATGATACTTCCTAATAAAATAAAAAAACTAAGGGACTCCAATACAAACATTAAAAAAATGTACCTTTGAATGATCTTTGGTAGCCTACATGAGGGAAAATATATTTTTTTATTTAAAATAATATCTGATATGTCAGATAGCCAGGCAGCCATCAGAGTACTAAACTCAATTATCATTAATACAAAAATTGTGTTGAATTGCAAAGCTAAATGAAATAAATCAGGTGTGCCAAATAGTCTCTGTTGATCCAAGGACATGTAGGAAAAGTTGAAACGAGAGAGCAGACGCCTTTGCATGGAACGGAGTGCTATACCCCTGATAGGTACTGAGCCATTCAAGCTCCCAAGAGTCTACAAAGGCAGGGGCGAATAAACCTTCCAAAATTTCACAATAAAGGATCTCCCTGGTAAAACAGAAACGATCCATCCCTAAAAAAAAACGAATGGTCCTAGTTTCTCCAGTTTTTTCGGCCCACACTATTTATATTTGTATAATTCATCCATTAAAAGCTGGCTTTCTATTGTATGAAAAAATCACTTGTGCAGCTGAGCCATCAGCTGGGTGAGACAAGCATGCAGTTTGTAACTATTTGTATAAACTGTTGCATCAGCAATTGCTATCATGGCGATACTTATGTTAAAAAGAAAAACAAACACAGATAACGCCATTGGTGGATCAAAGAATTATTTCATCAGCAAACCCCAATAGAATTTTCATTTTCGCTTAGTTTGTCCTATTTTGATGCTAATTTTTTTTCTATGCATCCTCTCTCTTGTTCTTGTTCTGATGAGTTTTATCTTTAGCATGCCACAAAAATCAGTAGCTGTAATACATTCGGACAGTCCTGGTTCATTCTCATACTTAAGACAAGTGCATTTTCACAGAAACAAAACTTGAAACCCTTTGGTGCGCACTAAAAACCCGAGAGCCGTTCGGCTCACCCTGAAACATCCTCGTGCCAAAAGTTTCACTGGCCCAGTCAGGTCTACTACGTGGGACCCAACCCAGCTTAATTGGTTAAATGCAAAAATGCATTTTAGCACGAACATGCTTTTGCCATGGCCTAACCACCCAAAAACATCACAAAAAGGTGTCGAAAAACAGACCCCTTGATCATTGCTGTCACAACCAATGAATGATCCTGAACAGTCCTCAAACAATATCTAAACGGTTCTTGAACTAGAGTAAACAACACTTGAACAATCCCAGCATGTAGAAATTATAAATGATGGGGTGAGTGTGGAGTTCAATCCTTTTTAAAAAAGATGGTTCCTACTCACATTAAGTTAAGTTCTTAACTAACCCTCCCAGTTTCCAAAACCAAAACACTGAATTTGATACAGAAGACTCACACCCTCGCAAAGACCATTTTTTCTTTCCATGGTTGTTTGTTGTACCTGAATCTATAAACTTATATGGGTGATAATTTTTATGGGGGCTATTTCTGCTCCTGCAGAAAAACAGTGAGCCTCAGTCTTATTGAGGAGATGCTTCGAAGGTTCAGAAAGAAGAGGGTGAAAGTCTCCTAGCTTAACTAACTTAACTCACATTAAGTTCTTAGACGTTGTTATATGAACGTTCCTCGAGCAATACTTCAACGTTATGTTGTGTTAATAATACGAGGAAATGTCGAACAATGATTTCAGTATTCGGAAAATTATCATTCAGAGAATTAAGGTCTTTGCCCACTAGAACGTATCATACTAGGACCGTAACCGAACTGACACATGTAAATAAATATTCTTTACATCATTTAGTATTAGAAAATGCCCACTAGACCATTCTGACTCCGGCCAACACCGTACCGTATATATTTTGCAGGTGTCGGCCCACTCCGGGTCTGACACGTGACCGTTGTGCGCATCTGGCCTACTGTGTTGCTGTCCCGTTCCACACAAGTTCTTTGCATTTGACAAAGAGATCTGTGTTTGTGTTCTATTGCATTGTGACTGTTTGTGTCTTAATAAAAATGGAGGATGAACAACTAATAGAATATGTTCGTAATTATGAGTTTTTATACAATTTACAACATCTAGTGTTTTTTCCTCTTCCTCGTTGAAAATAATGGCAATCATGGCCAATTCTCATATAGATAATTTTCTAATAGCCATACTTTATTTAACAAATTCACTCCACACAAGAAAACAAAAGTTCACAAACAACGTGTTTTTAAAAAAGAAATGTACGACAGCGACTGAAGCAGGACAGCTATGAAACGTTTAGACATACACGTTACATATGGGTATAGAACGCGGTTCATCCGTTGCAGTGGCATAGTAGTGACCGGAGTGTTTTTCTTTCATGCCTGACACGGTCCTAGTATGTTACGTTCTAGTGGGCAGACCTTATAGGATCAAAAAATTCAGTAGCCTGTCGGCTAAGGCATGTTCATGTTTCTATAGTTTTATACGTAGGCTCTAATTAAACAGCGTCAGTTTCCTTCAAACCGCTAGGATTCTAATGATTAGGACTGTACCTAGCCCACAGGTGGGGCTTTATCTGTGGTTTATAGTTATTAATTCTGATTTTATCCTAGCGGTTTAAGAGTGGGGGATTTCCCAGTTTCTTTAGGTGTCCATGAACCCTGCTCCTGTGAGGTATCCAGGGGTAAAGCTTTTTTTAGATTTTTTCTTTTTTCTTTTTTTGCATTTTACCGAGTTTGTTTGCTATACTTACTTGGCGAGAGTTAACAAGCCGACATTGTTTTCCGGGTTCGACCTTGTCTTCGAGTGGCAAATCAGATTTACAGCATCTTGCTGGGCTTGAAGTCTAGTGGGCAGAAAATCCCCATTTCTCATATAGTCGCTGTTGTCAACGCTAATAACCAAAAATATAAAGTCAACATTTGAAATTCATAAAAAAATGTATTTTGGTATATCATACATCTAAAATATGACATAGGAGTAAATAATCGCCTAAGAATATACCATAACAAGTGTAATGAACAGAAAATAAAGTAAAAATATAAGAATGACTCGGCTAAATTGACAAATACACGACGGATTTTTTTTTTAATCAATACAATCAATTAATGCTATTTACTGATGGAAACGTGTTCCTTACCAAATCATCGTGCTTTCCAGGACCATCTTGAATAAATCCACATACAATTCTTGGCGAGAGAGGATCGATTGAATTGATGAGGACAGGGTTTAGCGGTTGGTTATGTTACCCGTACTACTTAAAACCCCAAAAACCAAAACTAAGCATAGCAATGCAGAGGTTCTGATGTGGTCCCCCACTTTTCATTTTCACACTCATCTGATGCCATTGAAAGGTGAGTTCCGCTTGGATTTTGGTCAGATTTTAAGGCTCACTGAACGAATTTTGCTCTGAAATTAATTATTTATAGTTTCCAAAACGATATTAAAAACAATTGCTGTACTTTTGGGTATCGATCCTTCGATCTAGTTACACTAGGATCTGCAACAAAGAAATGATGATGCAATAGAAGGAGTGTTTCATGTTTTTTTGCATCCTTATGCAAAAGAATAAAACATCATTAATTATAATTGTCAAGTTCAATTTCAACTTAAAATTAAGCTTAGAACTAGATGCTCTTAGCTAACACCTTCAGCTTAAAAATTTAACAATCAAGCCATTGTGAGCATATTGGTGTAAGTCAAGTAAATTGCTGAAGATATCATCAAAGCACCTCTAAAAGTACTTAAAAGGAACTCTTATAATCTTGTAGTGCATAAGTTGGCGACAGAAAGCTTGGATGTGTGGAATGAGACATTGGGGTCAAAAGAAATATTTTCTTGTTTCAAACATCTTAAACTAGACCAGCAACAAAAACATTGCAATCTGAAATTAGCTCTAAATTAGATGTAAATTTTCAAGGATTCAACAATACTATTACAGCAGTTAATCACAAATATCTGCTATCAAGCCACTGCTTAATGATTCAGATTTTGTAAACATTGAAACTGCCGGCAGAAATAGCGCACCCTCAGCCCGGTATGAAACTATTAGCTCCGCCAGGAAGAAGAGTAGGTTCCATGTGTGAGACATCCCAGAAAATCTTTAAATCAACAGCACAGTTGGAGAAGGCTCTTATAAAGAAAGAAAAAAATAAAGAACAAATTGTATTTTATATTGTATTTACAATGCAATTACAATTAATTACAACATTTACATTTTATTACAATTAATTTTTAAATATTTAATTGAGGGTTGATGGGATACTAAATTTTTCGCCATCTTGCACTACACATTCAGACTTAACATTCACAAAAAAACAAGATGAGATATACAATACAACAGACTTGTTTCATCTAAAAATTAGAGCGGGGACTCAAATAATTGTTGCCATGCTCAAGCGCATTCTCATATCAGGTTCTTACACGCTCTCTATATGGAGCCAAGGAATTGCACCCTTCAATTTGATGGAACACATAATAGATCAACTTATCTATGTGGCTATGGCCCAAAAGTAAAATGGCCTGCATATGACCTTAATCAGGTGAGGTTGATCTCAAATAAATGTTATTATCTTAAATATTACTATAGAATAACAAAATTAAATATTGGTCCTTTTGAATTAATAGTTATATTAGTTTTAAATCTTTACTTGAATGTTTTATTAATTTGTATATATATGTATCAATAAATAAATAAATTTAATAACAGGTAATTCAAATGAAAAACATTCTGGTAATAAATTATTGCATGCAGAAAATAATGATATATTTGTCAAACCAATATTACAATGTAATATTATGACATTTTAATAATTTTCAATTTCTAAATTACGGTAATACCTTTACTTTATGTACACTTAAACTTAATAACCACATACAGCTTAACTAACTTTTAATTCCTTTGGTTCATATTCATCTATAAAAAATTCATTTTTTATTTCAATGTTATCTACAATTTCTTCGCTTTCACATTTAATACCTTTACAACTGTCTGGACTGTTCGTTTGTCGTTCATTTGAATCTAGCATCTCTTCTTTTATGTTGTCGATTTCAATATCATCTGGATTTGAATTAACTGTCGATCCGTCAACGGAATCGGCTAGAGCTTTAACTATTGAATTATCGATGTCTTTATAATGAATGGTCATGTGTTTCTTTAAGCTTCTTTTGGACAAAGCTGAATAATTGCAGAGCGCGCACGAAAAATGTTGGCCTCGCGAATGAACCGCCATGTGTCTTTTAAGAGCACTCGCCTGGGCCGAGCTGTAATCGCATATAGTACAGTTATGCGGTTTTTCACCAGTATGAGTCATGATATGCGTTTTCAAATTGCTAGGCACTGAAGTTCTGTAATCGCAGTCAGGGCATACGTACGGTTTTTCACCTGTGTGAATCATCAAGTGCCTTCTCAAATGTGTGTTCTGAGAGCATACATAGTCACAAAAATCACAAGAAAATGGCTTCTCCTTTGTGTGTGTTTTCATATGAGTTTTGAGATTCACAGCTTGTGTGCTCGTGTATGAGCAGATTGTACAAGAGTAAGGTTTGAAACCCGTATGCGTCAGAATGTGTGTCTTTAAATTAAAAGCCTGAGAACATCTATAATCACAATGGGTGCAAGTATAAGGTTTTTCCCCGGTATGTGTCATAATGTGAGCTTTTAAGTTAATTGCCCTGGCACATTTATAGTTGCATTCTGTGCAAGAGTAGGGTTTCTCTCCGGAATGGATAAGCATGTGATTCCTTAGATGTGCTGATCTAGCACAGGTGTAGTCACAAATAGCACAGCAGAACCTTTTTTCTCCTGAGTGTACCATCATGTGCCTTTTCAAATCACTCGCTCTTGTGCAAACCCTGTCACAGAGCAAGCAAGGATGTTCCTCACCACCCGTGTGAATTACCATGTGGCTTTTTAAATTCCCAGCTTGCGAACATTTGTAGTCACATTCTGTGCAAGAGTAAGGCTTTTCACCGGTATGCGTCATCATATGCTTCCTCAGATTTCCAGCCGATGTGAATTTCCCATTGCACTCTTCGCACATAAAAGGTTTTTCATTTGTATGTGACATCATATGTCTTTTGAGCGTACTCCCTTGAACACAAGCGTAACCGCACTGTATGCAGATGAAACGTTTGTCACCTTTGTGAATCATCATGTGCCTCTTAAGATCCCTCGCTCGTGCGCACCGATGATCGCACATTGTACATGTAAACGTCTTCTCACCGTAATGGCACACCATGTGGTTCTTGAGATTTCGAATCTGTGAACATTTGTAGTCGCACTCTGGGCAGGATATATTTTTTTCTGTCGAATGAATCAAAATATGCTTTTTTAAGTAATGGGCACGAGCACATTTGAAATCACACTCTAAGCAGGAATAAGGCTTTTCATCAGAATGCGTCACCATATGTTTCCTCAGGTTACCGGATCTTGCGCTGGCAAAACTGCATATCGTGCATTTGTAAGGCCGTTCTCCAGTATGAGTACGGGTGTGAAACATCAGACTCCTTTTGCAATCTGTCCTGTAGGGGCATTCCGAACATTTAAACCGCTTTTGCTTAGGAATCGCCTCTTCTTCATCCATAGTTCGGTTTGATTATAAACTATTTAACAAACAACTTTATCAAATATTGTTTTTCACATTTTCTAAAACCCTAATTGACGCCCTCATTCCAAACCCTAAAATAATACAGAGATTATGAGATAAACAAAAAATAAATTATAAAAACAGGCAGTTACACTTAAAACAAACTATTACTTTTGTTTTATTCCATCATTTATGGCCACCCGCTTTATTCAACAGCACCTGCAAAATAAAATACAGTAAACAAACAAAATGAATATTTGATTTCTAGCAAAGTTAAATCATAAAAGTATAAAGCATTTTATTTATTTTTTAATTTTTTTAACGTTGATTTTATTTATTTATTTAATTAATGGGGCCCTTCGGGGGAAAATCACTTTCAGGTAGTCACCCCTTGTGATTATAATTATAGTCTGGATGATGACCATCGTAACATAGACTGCTACACAGATGGATCACTTATCAAAGGAAGAGGGAGTGGTGCAGGAATCTACATACCAAAATTAGGAATCAACATCTCCTCCCCTCTTGGCAATAACACCTCCGTTTTCAGGCGGAAATCTGGGCCATCAATGTGTGTTGTAGAACACTTATGGAAAATAAAATTAAGGGAAAAGATATTAAATTTTTTTCTGACAGTCAGGCTAGTTTTAGGCATAACAAAAAGATTTATCAACCTCACGACTGGTGGAGGAAACTATAGATCTTATCAATAGGATCTCTTTCAGGTTTGAAAACAAGGTAACACTTATTTGGATACCAGCACATAAAGGACACTATGGCAATGAAAAGTCGGATGGCCTAGCCAACGAAGGTTCTAATACTGCGTTTGTTGGACCACAACTATTATTACCTCACTCTATGAGCACAGCGAAAGAGAGTATTAATGACTTGGGCAAAAACAATTCCTTAAGGACTGGAATTTATCCCCCGGACACAGGCAATTGAAAGAGTTTGTTAAGGTGATCAAACCAGCAGAATCGAAATGGCTATTCTCTATCTCAAGAAAGGGAATTAGGAGGCTGATAGGTATTCTAACGGGCCACTGCCCACTGAGAAGACACCTTTTCATAATGGGTATCCTACCAGATCCGTTTTTGCGAAATAAAAGAAAATGGCAAGGCACTACCTCGCAGAGTGTGATAGATATGCTAGGTCTAGATTTGAAATCTTTGAAGTATCACCAAATCACTCCCCGAGATAAAATGGTCTAAAATTTTGGGGTTTGTGCACAAGTCCAAGAGATTTATGCAGGACACGTGAGCCGACCAAGTCCCGGACCTGTTAGGGATGGGGTACGAGTCTACCCAGGCATTTAACCCCTCGGGTCTTGGTCGCCCACCCTGCATAATATATATTAAGGGGGCCTACTGACCATGGAGTCATGTCAGCTGCAACCCACTGTGAAAACCGAAGGGTTCTCAATATTCTGCCATCGGCTTTTTCAAACTCATTCACATCAACACACTATATTCATACATGTATATATTATATTCAACATTTACACTCTAAAGAAACACCCCCTCCCCCATTTGTTTTAAAAGGGGACCCAATAACCAACTTTCCTGCCCAAGGACGTCTTTATATCAAGTGCCTACCTACTTGCACCCTGTAAGGGGCCAAGGTCATTTCGAGTAACCTTTCTCTACATAGCAACCCACCTGTGACTTGCAAGGGGTTTGTCCTAAAAGCAGATGTCAATCGGGTATGGCTTATCCTCAAATGGGTGAGCACCATATTTCCTCGCGTTTCAGACCATCAGAGGTCCTACATTCAATTGAACTCTTGACACACAAGTGCTTTTCAGACGATCGATACAGTGTCACTATGCTGGATCGTGCTGGTTCAGTCTAGAGAGTGAGACTTTTTGGCTGCTTCGACTGAACATTCATTCCCCTTCAACCCAATGTGTCCGATAACCCGAACGGTAGCGCAGATTCAAAACACGCTTAAGTAACGTCAAAACCCCAGTGCCAGTTCAACATGTGTTCAGGGACTCATAGATCAACACCCACCAACTTTGAAACATTCGTCTTCTTACATTTTCATGAAAATTTGAAAATGAAGTCATGCATTATGATTAACTTGAAACTTCGTTTAGCATTAATTTACTTATACATGGACAACAATACATCTTTCATGATTTAAAAAGCACACTATTATATTCCATCATATTTAACTGTTAATTTCCTTGTTTACTTTTGTGCTGAGAAATAGTCCCTTTACAAAGAAAGTTACAAAATAAGAAAAATTATATTATAAAAAGCCCGTATTATAAAAAAAAACCTACATATAATACATAATAGAATAAATATCTGGACAAATTTTCTGTGGTTAAAGAACTTGAATCAACAAACCTGATCAAGCTTATTCAATGTAAATGTCTATATATAATCGACCACAACGTAAATGATCATTTAAGCCATTAGAAAGCAGAAGGAACCACACAGAAACAGGTTGACTGCACCATTTCAAACAGATGAACTGATGATTTGTATAGAAATTGAATTTCAAGACAACAATTAACCCAAGGAAAACCTTTTGGTTCTGATGCCAGATCTGTCACAACTAAGAGAACCACAGACAAAATGACAAAGAGCTTTACAAGTGCTTCGGCCAAATGAGAATGAGAAAGTTCCCCGCTTTAATTCAACTGTAACAATATGCTATACCTGAAGCCCAAACAAGTGGCCTCCTTTTCTGTCTATTGATATTATTGGTTGTTTTTTTCTGGCTCCAGATGGATAATTTAATGTAAAATACAGAATTATAAAAAAATTAAATTAAAGAAAAAATAATATAAAATTCCACAATTGTATTTCTACAGAATCAACATTCTCACTTAATTCAAGAGAGTTTCTACCTCTATTAAAAACTATAAAATAAAAATTATAACTTTAAAATTATATAACTATATTATAAATTATAAAAACTAATCTACAAAATATTATATTTTAAAAAATTATTGTTTCTTCTGTGCGATCAACCAGCCTTTACTCATAACAGTCTTGTTGATTGATCACAACCCTCCTCCAAGAGACTATTATTAAAAAATTATGTTCCTCATATATATGTCAAAAACAAGAAGAAATATCATTTATAAAATGTTTAAACAAGAAAGGCACAAATAGTAAACCTTGAGGAACTCTCAATGGGATGGATTGTGTTTTGGAGGCTTGTGCCGTTAAATAAGAATAAAACAATTTCAAGAGATATCTATGAATTCCATAAGAAAATTTGTTAATTAATGTATCATTATAAACCAGATTGAAAGATTAAAAACATATTCAGTTGTTGAAAAACAGCAAAAGAACTTACAATCCTAGAAATTAGTTGGGTCAACATTCTTTGCAAATTGTTGCAGAAAAGTTAGAATAATCTGCCTTCACACGTCATCAACTCAAGATTTTGGAGAAGTCTGCTCTTTATATAAGAATTCCAAAGATATATCCTTGAATTCTATAAGAAATTTTGTTCCAGGTTTAATAATCAAGTTCCTTGATGAATTAGGGCTTACTGATGTGTTACAAGCACAAAACACGGGCTACAACAGCCCTTAAAGGGCGCATTACAATGAACACCCCGACTGATACATCTATCTATCTAGTGTTAGGTCATATGTAAACCAACCAAATGTTTTTTTTCTCTTTTTTTTTTGTGGTCATATAAGCTTGGAAAACCATTAGAGCTGCCTGGCTGTCTGGAAGAACTATTGTGTTTTACCCTTAAAATGTCTATTATTTATTTCATATGCACATATTTCTAGTAAGCAGTTCAGCTTGAAAGATGGTCAGGTTGAATGACAGAAAAACAAAATAAGTAAAAAAAGCAATAACATGAATGAAAGAAATATTAAATAATTTGTAAAAAGCTGTTCATGGGACAAAAAGAAAGATTGTAAAACACTGGCAATTTGTTCTTTGTTGTTTGTATTATATTTGTATCTGATTCTTTTAAACTGTAAAGTCCATTTTGATTTTTTTTAAGATCGTTGTAATTTAATATGAAAAATACTTTTTTTATACATATCAAATGATTTAAATAAACAATGGATATGTATAATAAATACAAAACAGATTCCATACTCATTCGTTGTTCTTTGAAACATGAAATACAGATTGTCATTTGGCTCAATGACTCTTGCTATGATTTATTTTAATTTTGTATTAGTTTTTGTCACAATAATATAAATAATAATTTATTAGAGTTGAAATAATGGAACAGTAAGTTAATTGAAACTTTTAACTGAAAAACCTTAAACATTTTTCAAAAATTGTTAACAAGTTTGCTGTTTATTTATACTCAGATTTTTCATTCGATAACTAAAAAGATAGAATTTTGTCATTTTGTAACAGTTTAAATAATTAAAATTTGCTTTAGGCTACTCCATAAATATATTGTTTATCCATAATCCAGCAAAATTATGACTTTATGACGATTCGTAGTAGGAGAGAAACTATACCTAGCTTAGGTACCTCTGGTAGGTTTTGAAAACCTAATCTTTTTTAACCACCTTGTGTACAGTTTACAGTATTTCCAGTTTAAATTAAATTAATGTTTAATTTACTCTAGTCAAGCCGGTGACAATAAATTAAAAATTGAAATCCGGCTCTGTTTTGCTTTGTGGATAACCACTTGTCACATTCTGACATATGAAGAATTGTTAGAAACGGCAGAAAAAATTTCTGCTACTTTTATTGGAATGTTGTAGTATATTGATCAATATGAGTAAATCATACATTCCTCCTCCAATCGAGAAGAGCTACGACTGCACTGAAGCTTATGCCAGTCCTGAGGAAAGGTACTTCACCGAACGATACGCCCTCGATGTCAGATTCCCCGGTGACGACTATAGGATATTTATCCACTCGAACCGTATCTGCATAGTGACTCTGGCACCCAGTCATGAAATGTTAATGAAGGAACAACAGGTCGCAAAGGTGGATTTTCAGGTGACAGATAAAAGAAACACATTGGAGTCGAAAGTGTCCGGAAAGAGAAAGCACGGCGCGCAGAGGCTCCTTCCGACTACACCGCTTTTCATAGCTGAGTGTGGGCATTCCAGTTACAAACCGTGTACTGGAATAACCGGCAAACTGCTCGAAGTAAACAAGGCGCTTAAGGAAAATCCACAGCTTCTAATATCTGATCCTTGCCGAAAAGGATTTCTAGCCATTCTGCTTCCCGACCCGACACTTGTTGAAACTTACAAAAAAGAATTGACGACTAAAGAGGAATTCCAGAAAAGAAAGTCACAACATTTATTAATATGACACATATATTTGTTATATGAGTTTGTACTTAATAAATCTGTTTTACTTTTTATTTATTTTATTCATACCCTTTTATATTATTTAATTTATGTTACATTGTGATATGTAGTGAAATCTGTGAGGCAAGACATAGGTTTCAGCATTTTGCTTTCTTTAGTGGCCATACTTTCTGTACCATGTTTCTTCTGTTATTCACTAATAGAAATTTGTCATAAGTTATCATTTTTTATAAAAAGGTTGGTTTTAAATAAGCCTATATTATGTTTAATAAAAATTTACTGTCTTATTATTAACTAGTGTTTTAAGGTTTTGGTCTACACTTCATTCAATTTCTAGTTTTAGTATGAGTCACGATGAATAATAGGAAAAAGCTGTACGATGCCATGATGTGAAGTCAATTGTTTAAAATGTATCTATAAATTGACAACCTAAAAGTATTTGATATGGTTTAACATATTTCATTTTTTAGGTGTTTTTCTACATGTATTCATTACAACATAAACATTGTATTAGTTTCTTAAGTACATATTAAAAATGTGATCACATTTTTTTTCTGAATGTGAGAGATTAAGGGACGAGAAGCCCATCATCAATCAAAGCAATGTGGCGGGTTCTCGGGATGGGAATGTGTAGAGAGTTCTTGAGCAGTAGGGTTAGTGTGAAGCGTGGAAGCAATAGGTCATTTCATTGGCAGAAGGATGTTGAAGTTGAGGATAATGATGTAGTAAGGAGCTTTGACAGTTGGTCTGAGGACTTTTGATTAGAAGGATTGAATGACTTGGTAAAACCCTACAGCTCTTCTCCATATGTCCAAAGTGGTAGTCAAACCTTGTATTAGGCTAGTTTTGATGGTCGGGACAGATTTTGGTCCTAGACGTCTTCGTAGCTGCCCAAGAATTATGTTGTCTCATAAATCTTATGTGGGTATTCCATATCAGTCCTAAGTATTTAACTTGAACGGAAGTCAGAATCTCTTTGTTGTGATGTACAGTGGAGGGCAAGACTTTTTTCAACATGAACATACACTGAGTACATTTTTCTTAATTTGGTATTCTTTCACTTTTTGCACCAGTCTTCGATAAGCTATATAGTGTTAGAGGTAACTTGGTGTTTAGATGGTTATGATGGTATTGGGTGTGCAGGCAGGTCAGCAGTATAAATGATATATTGTACATGGTGGGACCAAAAATGCACCCTTGTGCAACACCAGCTTGTATTGGTCTGATTAATGAAAACTTGTTACCGCATCTCACTTTGAAGCAGTGGTCATTAAAAAGAATCCCAGGATCAGATAATATAGATTGGGTATACCTCAAACGTGGTGGTATTCTAAAATAGAACATTTACATGACAAATCATTTCTGTCATTTCCACATTATTTATAATTTTATTTTGTTTATATATTTATTTTCTAGCCGGCTAGCTGCTGTAGCTATTGCCAGTGTCTTGCTTTTTTTTGATTGTCAATTTTTGATTTCAACATATGCTGTAAATGCTCTGCAACTCATGTACATACATACAGATATTGTAGCCTAACCTAAATTTGGTGGGTTTCGGTACTGCATATTCTGCTTATCACAGTGAAATTTATAAGGGCCGCCCAAAGCCCTTCCACAAGCCACTAAAAGGAGGAGGAAGGAGACTTCCACTGGAAAAAGCCTGTTGGGTTTGCACTGGACTAGAGGCGACACGTTTGATTTTTCTGGCGAGAAAGCAGCAAAGATCAACCTATTTTCATCTAGCAAGAATCATCACTCAAGTTTTTCCATTTTAATTTGTTTTTCGTTGGAAAATGATTTTTTTATCTTATAGTTTACAACAAAGAGTCAATTTTTCGTTTGTTTAATCAACAGAAAGTCTGTCTTGCAGTTTGTTTATTTTATTTTATTATTAATAATAATAATAATTAGAGAAAGTAAGAATTGTTTCGGTATTTTAATATAAAAAAATAATAATGTCCAGTCAGTTTCCTTTAAAAAATTGTTAATTCCAAACTGAGACCTTAATTTCAAGTTTTGTTAATATTTCATCATAAGAATTGTTTCCGTTTTTTAATTTAAAAAAAATAATAGTAGTAGTAATATTTAGTCAATATAAGAATTGTTTCTGTTTTTTAATTTAAAAGAAGAAAATAATAATCAGTCAGTTTCCTTTAAAAAATTGTTAATTCCAAAACGAGGACCTTAATTTCAAAGTTTGTTAATTTCTCAATATAAGAATTGTTTCTTTTTTGATATTCTTTTGTTTATTATTAATTCATTTATCTAAACAAGGAAAAGATCCACTCCCTCGGGTAAGGACCAAACAGTAACGCAATACGCTGAAGAATGAAACATGATGAGTATGCATGCTAATAAATAAATTCACACTAATTAGAAACTTTCATATTACATGTGCAATTAAAAATTTGGAAGGCATTGATTTGATGCCGGTCAAAATCATCAATGACAGAATCAGGGAAAAGGATCAGTGCTGTTGCCAATAACATTAATAAGGAAGTTGAAAGCTTAAAACATTTACGCACTAGATGGAAATTGATTAATATATCCAAAATGTATTCTCCTAATGTAAGCCCTTGCTCTCCCATAAAAATTGCTCGACTGAAAGCCTTTTAATTGGTCTAAGACACTACCTTCCTAGGTATTACACTTGATTCTAATGTAAATTTTGGCAAAGATGTAAATAAGGGCAAAGTAATATGAACAATTTATCCTCCTAAGGGAGAGATGCCACATAAATATCTCATATCAAATAAAATACTTTTGTACAAAACTTGTAAAGCTAATGCTACTACATATATGCAGCTCGAGTATGTAGATAGACGACATGCTAATGTATTATTAACAAACTTCAGATGGTCAAAATTAAATTTTTGCAGCTTGCCACAACCTTTTTCAGGAATTTTAGATTGACTAGGCTACACAGAGATACAATGCGCTAGATTAAGGATGTCCCTTAGCATGTAGTTTAACAATTGATTTTATAGAACACAAGGTCAAATTCTATGTCAAATGTTTTTTTGTTTTTTTTTAACCATCTTTAACCATCCCTAACCATGTTATTCTTAGGTTTGATGTTAATTGATTGAAAAGTAAAGACTTATTTTCATTACATATTCAACTTTTGTTGTCAAATTTAGATTATTGACAAAAGTTGATACCAATTTAGTCAGTTTTTAAATGTTAATTTTCAAACATGAAATTTTTGATAAAAAGGTCTTCAGAACTGTATTCTGATGCTCTAACCCCCTGAGTGGTACAGTTCCAAAGATCCTATCCATGGACATTAAGCCTTCCTTTAAGATAGAAATTACTTTTTAATTAGTATGAAATCTAGCAGTCATTCACTATGCTAATTCTAAATACAACTATTATGAACAGTTGGTTGCAATAGTAGAAATTACAGTTTTTAGTTTAGTGTTTAATATTTGAATATATTAATATCTTATAAGAGAAGAGGCTAGCAATCTACAATGACATTTTTTATTTTTTTTAAATTAAAATTTTCTGAAGTTTTTGAGCATAGCAAAATTCAGGGCCTTCTTTTGCCTTTTTTGGAAAATCCTGTCCAATCTTTGTCATTTTCTTGTAGGTGTTGGTTTCAGTCTGGCGTTTCAACAGTACTTGAAGACGCGTTTTCAAAGAATCTAACTTTGCGACCATGTTTTGAACAGGTTTCACTTCGCTCCTTTGTTTTCCTTGCCATGGAAATCCCTGACTTGAATGAATCTAGAATTTAGATTAAATTTGTTTCAGCTACTGTCATAGTAGGACCAAATTTAAAAATGCCAGGTTATATTTAGTCAATGTGAAAACAGAAAGAATAGATTCAAGACACTGCTGTTAATTCATAAACAATTTTCATGTTCAATATTAATTTTTTTTATTAATGTTTCATTTTTACTAGTAATTATTTTTCACCAAACCTGAATTGAAACAAAAACTGCTACAAGGATAAAGAATTTGATGTCCATATTCCTTTCTTTTCTTGACTGTGGAATCAAATTGATCATTAGTCACTTTTGAGAAGACATGGATGTAGATACAAAGCAAAAAAAAAGTTTAATAAAAACACATGAAATTTTATTATTTTTATTTACAGAAACAAATGGCAATGAAAACAACAATAAAATGGTTTGAAATTAAATTGGGCCAATATAAATGTTTTTAATTGGCTGGTGTTGGCTTTTGTGCCATGTTTTGAAGTGTTTCAGCGAATTTTTCCTGGAGTTCTTTTCCTTTTGCGGAAACATCATCTCCGAACTTCTGTAAGTGTTTGAAAGCTTCGGTGTCGGCTAAAGACGACGCCAATTGGTTCACACTTGCCTGCAATTGAGTCAAGAAGTCGGTCACTTGTTTTACGCCTTTGTCAACCTCACCGTCGGGGGTTGGATGGCATACGACCTGAAAATTGGTGTATGATTTAATTTTCACCCTTTGTAATTGAAAACAGTTTAATTGCAACAATCCAATAAATATAGATATCAAAGTAGAAAATTGAGGCTATTTTTTAAACTACATATTTATCATTAATTTTGGTATAAAGCATTAATTGAAAATTGTAAAAAACTTTTTTTGTGATTTGCAAGTTGTACTTGTATTTTGATTATCCTTGCTGTCTATTGGACTAGTTTTGGCTTTTTTAAAACATCTGTTTATTTTTTACATTTCAATGTTTTGATGCATAAATTAAACATAATTTAATTGTGAGTTTTTCAATGTTAACTAGTGGGGTGATGATCTTAAGGTTGGGTCTTGTAGACCTCAACAAAATATCTCACAATTTGAAATCATCTAGTTGTTTCAATTTTAATGTTTTGAGCCATAAATTGAACATGATTTAATTATTAGTTTTTCTGTGTTCTCTAGCGGGGTAATGAATCTGAAATTTGGTCATTACTGATCATTTTGTTTGGACTATCCCACTGGGCTGGCCTAGTGGACAAGTTTCAGCTTCTCTCAGTTTTCAGCAGTTTTTAGTCAGATGACCAAGCTACAGATTCATCGTCTTGTAGACTTCAACAAAATATCTCACAGTTTAAAACCACCTAGTTGTTTTAATTTTAATGTTTTGAGTTTTGGTCATCTACGATTGTCGGGCTGGTCTATTGGACCAATTTTGGCTTCCGTGGTGAGTTTTTCATGAGCATGATAAACCTAAAAATTACTGGTCATTACTGATAATTAAGATCTTCTTATCAGGTCAGACTCACTGAAGATAGCAAAATGCTGAGACACATATAATTTAATTGTTATTTTATTATTTTGTTCTGTAGATTCAATTCAAATTCAACAACCCTTGAATATACAAACGCAGTAATATTGCTTAAAATTATTTACTTATTTAAATAATTTTTAGTATTTTGTAGTGCCTCTGTCAGGAAAATTTGTCTTACATGTTAATAAAATTTTTTTAAGATATAAATATATTAAGATTTAAGACAATTACTCGAACATAATAGAACAAGAATACTCAATTCTTCAGCTTTTTAAAATACTTTTTAAAATTTAATAACTACATACATACTTTATTTTTAAAAAAATCTGTACTGCTCTTAAGATATTAAATATATATTTTATTTATTTTGTAATATCATAAAATAGGTTTATATATTAAAATTGAAATGAATAAATATGGCTACCTAACAGTGAACATTGCGTTTAGAAATTTTGTACAAACCATGGTGGTGATGAGAAGAACAGCAAGAGCGATAAGTCTGAGCGACATTGTAGATTTGTGAATTCTGGTAGAACGGTGCGATACAGTGCCTGGGAATAATCTGATTTAAAACTGTTAATCCACTACTACTTTATTATAGTCCTTTCCAATGGTTACATCATAATTTATCAAGGAGAATTTCCTCCCTCCATCCCTACTATACACATTACACACCCCTCCACTCAACGGAAAGGAAAATGAAAATAATCGCAGATTGATATAAAACTAAAAGTAATAGTTCGTAAGGACTATATTATCTTAAATTGATAATATGTTAATGTTATTTTTCGTCAATAGATTGTTTGATTAAATTTTTTTTTAAATTTTATTATTTATTAAATTCCATACAATGCCAACCAAAAAACACAACTTTGGTTGTTTTGTCTATGTAATATAATAGATAATAAGATTTTTTTTAAAAGCAACAACATTTTATAACATAAAAAATATTATTTGAATTTTTTTTATTATTTATTTTATGCTTCAGATTGAATGATAATTATTAAGTCTGTATCATAAATCAATCATAAAAATGTTTATCACATGAAAAAAGGAATTTCCTAAGAAAGAGTTTAATGATCATATTTTTTTAAAAAATTTCCAGCATCAGTTTTGCTGTTTAAGCCCCTAATTGATATTCATAAAATTCTTCAATTTCAACTAATTGGCTTATATTTACAAAAAGTCTTTTATATTCTACTTTTATCTGTTATGCTTATACAAAGAGATTTGTTTTTAACTATTTTACTTTTTTTTTTTTGTAATTTCACCTGTAATATTTATCCGTTGTAAAATCAAAATCTAATTTTCCAAGTAATTTCCCAGATAATATTCATTATACGGGTAATGGGTTGTTTAGCGAATTTATATTGGCAAGGTTATTCCATTTATATATGGGCTTTTTGTTCGACATCCTGGCAGGATGTGAACTTTATAATTGAAAGCTTTGTGCGTCCAAATGGAACATACGTCTCCCAATTAGTATTGAAATGAAATTATTTTAATAGTGTCGATCTTTCTTGTATGTGCATGTTTGTTTCTCCTAATGGTTAACCCTTTTAAGAAAGTTCCCTTATTGATTAGATATATACAAATAATGTTTTTTAACTTTAACAATACATTGTATAAGAATTGAATTTAAAATTATGTAGGTAATAAAAATTTAACATTGAGTTTTTCACTCTTAGCCTAAATTACAAACTTTTTTTAAAAATGTTTAATAGACTCATCAAACTTCTGCTAGTATTTTGGGATACTGGTTTCATCTGATGTAGGCCATTTATGTCCTCATTTTACAATTTTCCAGCATGCCTCCTTTCTTTTTTGAACATTGTACATGCAAGTATTTAAGCCTCGACGTTTGGGGACCAAGGCTGCACGGACATTCTGGACTGTTTTTTACATTTCAAAATGTGTTAGATGTGTCAATTTGTCCATGATTTGTTAAGGCAATAATTGTTTTCAATATTTGTTTAATTTCTATATTCAAATGAATATACACTTTAAGGTCATTCTTTCAACATTTTTTGTTGATGAACATACCTTTTCTTAATCTTTCAAAACTTTGGCCTATATAGTCGACGATGAAGTTTTTAATTTCATTTGAAATTCCAGTGAGTTTAGTATCAATTTTGTATGTTACTAACCTTTGCAATGTTGTGGCTAAGTCTATCTTCAAAGAAATTTGAAACCATTTACTAAAAAACTTTATTATGTCAGTTTGTATGCATCTTTCAGTTATTTTCCCTGATGATGACCTTAAAAAAGGTTGAAATCTTGGCAGATAAGAATTGAATTTGTTTTATCATTCAGACCATACCGAGGTTAAAGAATAAAGACAGTGTGTGTGTTGAGTAAAGTTATGCTTTACCCCGAAAAAATAGATTGATTTCGGCTTAAAAACGTTAACGCTCGAACGCTTTTGAATAAATAGAAGCCCATAGCCTTTGTTGGCTGAATAAGATGGCGTCAGAATTTCCTCATATATAAAACGTGATTACTTAAAATATATTTGTCATTCAAACGTCCTTTTCACCCTGAATATATTCGATCCACGTCGAATTATCAATTAGGAGAACGTGATGCGATTGTTAGAAGGAATATTTAATTAGTTTCCTATTTATCCATCCCAGTGAATGAAAAATTAGATGCGTAGAACGAAAATTCCTTGATTATAAATTTGTTTATAAGGCCGACCTATTTCCAAACTACATAACAATTCATAGGCGTGCATTCGCAAGCGCGAGTGTTAATTGTTATTCTTTTAAAGAAATTTGCCTGGTTCGACTCGAAAGTTGGAAATTTAACGAAATGGAGTTGAAATAGGATATGTTATTGCTCTTAGAAATGAACAACATTAAAAATTTAAAAAATCGAGGTTAGATAATAGTAATCGTTTTCCCATGTAAGAAAACCTAGTTTTCTTGAGTAATTAAGAAATTTTGTAATGGCTGCTTCGTCATAAAGAGGACGAAATACAATGGGCATTTTTTCACTCGTACACAGTCATATTTACAGAAAAACCGGACGTTAAGACAGTCAATTCTACAAATGAGTATAAACATACTGTTTAAAAACGCTAATTTTCTGACTGGTGTTTTCAAAGGATATAACTTTCTGAACATTTCAAAACTGTTAAGAAACAGCTAGTTTTGTGTTATTCTTAAAACTTAACAAAGTCTTCGTTTCTTCTTTTATCTCGACTCCTCCAATATCAAGTACAAAATAAAACGAACAGAGATTTGAACGGTCGCTGGAAGAAGAAAATTTGTCAAGGTAAACAGAGTTAACCGTTAATCACTTTGTTTTATATGTGGTGTTTAGTGGTTATTTATTATGTGGTGTGTGGTTTTTCATATCCTGAATGTATTTGTAAAATTTAAATAATGTTTATAAATCCGGGGACCTGAAGATGATCTCAGTAAAGATCGAAACGTTGGCACGATAAAGAAAATGTTTTTCTAAAACCTACGTCACACCAGACCGCATCTCACGATCTCCGAATAAACTTTGTTTTATTTCCTCCTAAATTATCAAAATTTCATTGTGATCAATAATTTTAAACTGTTTTATTATATGTATTTTTTTATCGTCAATTTAAATACGTACTAGAAACAACTGCGTAATTTATTTAGGCGTTTCTCTGCCGGTCTCGGGAATGGATCGGCCCAAAATTAATCCATCATGTTCCTGGATGGATCAATCTGGATGTTGCGAATCGTCTCTGATCAGCCCTTCCATCAAGTGTCAGATTCATTATAATTATCCTATTGAAATTATAACGAATCCTAAGGTATTAAACAGGAATAGGGAGAAGATCTGCTATATCAAACGGCGTCAGTTGCAATTTATAAGGTTTATTACAGTTATAAACAGTAATTGTTTCGTATAAACTATTTATAATTAATATTTGATTATGATCAAACAATTAACGAAATGGTAATTATATGATAAATTGATAATAATCATCGATTTGCGACTGGGTAAGAAAGGACCATTTTTTCAAACAGCATATATCTTAAAGAAAACCTTTTCCTTCTACAAAATTATATTTATCTGAGAATAGGCTTTCGACTCAGTCGATCGGAAGTCTCTATTTCTCAAAATGTTTAACTTGGAGATCTTTTCTAAATTCATTAATACCTTGAAGAGTATTTGTCGTGATCCTCTGTCGGCAGTAAGTGGCTGCCAGAGTGTGTCTGAATTTTTTAGCGTTAGTTCGGGGTTTCGTCAGGGTTGTTTGCTCAGTCCCTTGTTATTTTCTCTCTTTCTTGACGACCTTCGTGCAACACTTGAGGGAGGTGTCAGAGTGGCGGGACAGTTGTGAAGGTGCTTCTCTGGCTGAAGACCTCCTAGAACGTATTGTGATCTGTGGAACCTCACAGTCAATTTAGATAAGTCTAAGATCATGGTGTACAGAAAAAGAGGTCGTCTTGCTACTAATGAGAAATGGCAATATAAAGGCAACCCTATTTAAGTCGTTAACCATTACAAATATCTGGGTATTTTCCTGACCCCCCCCCCCTACCAACTGTCCATGACTCGGCATTTTTCAGGGAGGATATCATTGGCTAAATTTGGGATAAATCGTTTTTGAAAGGCCCTCATTATTAACAGTAAAGTCCCTCCTTCCACCAAAAATAACTATTTCAAAGTGGTTTGCCGTTCAATTGTGTGATATGGTGCCCAGGTTGGAGATTTCAACGACAGGATTTGGTGGTAAAATTTCAACGTTTCTTTATCAAAAGGATGTTTGGGCTCCACCACATAACACCAAATTACATGGTTTCTATTGAGACTTCAATCTCTCTGGTTCATGTTTTCACCTCCATGTTAGATACTGCATCAAGACTTTGAATCTGCCTGCTCACCGCCTTTCTCGTTCTATAGTCTTTGAGATTATCAATAAAAAACATTCTGGTTTAAGCACTGGGTTAATTTGGCGGAAAAGTAGTCATGCCATTTTGATTCTAACTCCCAGAATCGGGATAAATGGTGTGCCCAGTTGATGGTCATACGTCAAAGGATGGACGAATGTTACCGGGAAGAGTGTGTGCGGTCGGCTCGACAGTCCAACCGTTTTCTTTTATATAAAGATCTGCAGCACCTCCCTACCTTGCTGTCCCTTAATTCAAAAAATATAAAACTTTCGCCCACGGAGCTGAGCTGGTTTTTTTAAATTGAGAGGCGAGTTACTTTTTCTTAACTACACTCCGTGGCGAGAGTTACCCCTCTGTGCTCTTTGTAACCTCAGGGAAAGGGAGGATGTGATCCATTTCTTGAGTTTATGTCCCATCTTCTCGAAATTTAGATATCCCCATACAGATCACAGCAGGCTCGGCAGAACACAGATAATTGAATTCCTTAACGGCAGGAACAGTCTGCAATTGATCTGATTCGCACGACAGGCTTGGTCATATCATCATGATCTAATTAAGGAATTCAATTATAATCAATAGTTCTTTTTCTTTTTAAATTAGTACTACTGTATTATTATAAAATTGAAAAATAGATGGCGTTTAAATACAAAGAGAAAAACTAAATAAATAAATCTTGCCCAACCCTGAAACCAGGTTTCTAGAGTGATTCAGGCCCCACACTTCCCAATAGGGAATGCGAGCTACAAACTAGCACCTAACAGACTTATCTAATCGTCAAAAAACTTATCCAGTTGAACTCACCTCACCAAAAAACACTTCAAAAAACACTGGGCTGACAAAGGGACGTCCTAGCTTCCACAACACACCACTGCCATACACTTATTAAACCAATATACCTCAAAACTTCGGTTTTTTTCCCGGAGCGGAAATTCTTGTTTGTTACCCGTTTTATAGTCAGGTCTATTATTATTATTATTATTTTATTTTTATATATTTTTGATGGTTGTGGCTTCAACCTCTGGCAGCCGGTTTTTATCCATGCCGTTATTTTATGTTATTGCATATATTTTAATGTTCTGTACATATTTTGAAAATATAACTAGATCAACGATGCAGAAAAACTAAATCTTTTATTTTAAAGAAAAAAATGAAATAAATTATCATCAGTGTTCTAATTATACAAAAGGTAGGTCGACTGTAAATGAGAAAACGAATTATCCTTGAATATTTGGTAGGATAATAAGACTTATTCCTCCGTCGGATTAAATTAGTACAACGTATGTATTTCTTATGTTAGAATTACCAGGGATTTATTATATTATGTCGTTCGACGGTTAGGTCGTTATCTAATGAGAAAGGACCTTTGACCGGACTCTTGATAATTTCCTTGCTTGTTAATGAATAAATTGATATCGCGCCTATCTCCCCTTTGCTACTATTGAATCACGTTATCCCGCCTGTTTTAGACTTTTGTACCACAAACAGGTTTGAGGGCAAACGGAAAAGCTATCGAATCGCACAAATATAACAATAAAGGGTTCAACGTCCTGTTATATTCGGCTAAAATAAGATTTGATTCGAAATTAAATTTGAGCCCTTTTGCTAAGCTCGTCTGGTCGTTTCCCCACAAAACCAATCGGAATTATGACCGCCGAGCAGAAAAAAAACCCCGTCCAGTTAAAAGAGATATGGGAATGTGAACTGGATATCTGACGTGATAGCTAGAATGTGATTTGAACAATTGAAGGAGATTAGAACGAGGAATTAATTCAACAATGGCCATCCTTGGAATCCTCTTAGCTGTTAACGCATCACCTCTTCAGTGGCCCCTCTGGAAACCTAGCGCACCCAGAAGCAAAACGTGTACATCTAATATTCTAAAATCCATCGGTTTTGAAAAATCTAATTTTGCTTGAAGAGCGATTTCAAATTTGCAATAAAAGTGAAATATAAAGACAGTGTAAAATTGCAATGTTTCTAAGGAGGACCCAACCACATTAATTTAATTTTTATTAAGGTTTATGAATTTTTTTTTATAAATGAAAAATTATGCTTACAACGTTACCCTGTTCATGCTGGATTTCTCGACTAGAGACATCGATTATTTTAGAAGAATAGGCCGTCAAGAAATTAAGACTAGACTAATCCTTATTGAATTAATTTCATTTATTAACAAAATTGTATAACAGAACTAATAGAAATTATATATAATAGAAAAAATATTCTGCTTTTCAATGGCTTTAATAACATTGAATTTGGATAAAATCCATAAGTGATGAATTTTTATGTAGACCACTGGACATCGGAGACAACAAAAACGGTCAATCCCGCGCAAAATTAGTGTTTTTTAAGCAATAAAATTCGTACTTAACGGTTTTCCATGGTGCTTAAAACCAATTCATATTAGGCTATTAAAAAAAAAAAAAATGGGGAAAATAAAAAATTTTTACCAATTTTTTGCTTTACTTCTGATAAGGAGATAAGAAAAGCATGATGAACGCTGTAAAAATAATAATTGTAATAATAATAATCAGATATAATATAGATAATAATAATAAATTATAAATAAGATAACTTAATTAACATTATTGCCAGCAAATACCTAGACTTGTTGATCAACGAGCAGGATGTGGATTTTGTATTTTTAATTTCCAAGCAACTTAAAATGTAAAATAAATTATCCCTTAAAAAGCAAATTATTGACTATGGCTCGAGACTAAGGTTTTATCAATTGTTCTATTCTATTTTGGGGTGTCTCAGTAACCTGGTTCCTGATTGGACAGCGTATTCTGTTGTATAAAATCTACTGCGTAAAACGTGAAAGCACTGCTTGGCGAAGAAAAAGTCAACGCTAATAAAAATACCTAAATGAATAGTTAAGAAGCACTTCAGCAATAATTGCTTGAATCAATTTTGGATGACAGATGAATAGGCCATGTTGCAAGAGCGATTGCCTAAGTTGGTGGCCAAAATTATTAACAGGATGATGGTTGCAATAAACGGGGAGCCAAATCAACGAATCGTAAAATCTCTCAAATTTCTTTAATACTGTCTATAACTATCAGTGTGTAGCTATTAAATAAACATACTGAATTGGTAATGGTCGTACTTGTTTGAGACGGTGGTTTCATGAAATTGCACGCTGACAACATGTTATCAATAAAACCTGTAATTAACTTAATTAGAGATGTAAGCCATATTGTGAAGATAAATTTTCTTTGGTTTCAACAACTAAATATACAAACTTTGAGGTGTTTTTTCAACAGAAATCATAGAAAATGAAAACAATTACAAAAATAAATAAGTAGCAACGAACAACACAGTTGTTTACATATGTTTATTTTAATTATATTAAACTATGTCAGAAGGCATCAAAGGACCCCAAAAACGTCATTTACTGACTGCCCTGTTGATAGGATATCTGAAGGAACGCAGATCTTCGGGAGTCTGCGGACTCTATGGAGAAGAGGAAGAAACCGTTTCGCTTGTTGTTTTCAACTGTGAAACCACAACCAGGTGGAAGCACGAGACGGTAAACTTGAAAAACCCGAATCGGAACTAGTTAACAATCGAGTAATAATTACACCTTCGAGCTTATCAAAAGATAAGATCTAGGAATGTGGTAGTCAGGTAATCAAGAGACCAGAGCCTAGCCTTAATGGCCGTTGTTGATGACCACAGAAATATAAATAAAATATTTATGAGTATTGTAAATTTGTCCCAAACTGCTTTTTTGAAAAACCGCTTTAGCCCTTTATTAACTCAATCCCACCATATTACCCTTGTTCCTGTCGATCCTAACAACCTCATAGACCCTTCATGCTGGCAAGTCGCGATGAATTCTGTTATTCGTCCCGTGGAAGAGTTTGTCTGCAAAAAATAAACTTAAGTGAATTTCATGCCGGTTTTAGGAGAGGCTACTAGATAATTGACCATGTCTTCTGATTTAAACTGGAAAACCAAAAAGGATAAGTAAAATGTTCGCGTTCTTTGTCGCATTTAAGGTGGTTTGGACTTGATGGACCGACGGCTTCTTCTTCTGAAGATTGCAAATCTCTGCGCTGTTAAAATTAACAACACGATCCTCTCACGTATTTTGTGGTTGAAGGGTTGCGTTCTTAGCCCTTTGTTGTTCTCGCTCTTTATTAATGACCTCCCTGATTTAGGATTTAGGAATTCACTACTCTAAAATATCAAATAAAAACTTGTTTCTATTCTGACGATGGTTGAGCGTTGGAGCTGTGATTGGTTGAGCATATGTAAGCGAATCTGTGAAGGAATATCGAATACCTGACAGACTACCTGCAGTATTGTGGATTGGCGTAATATTAAAACCTCGGCGACTACCCCCATGTGTGAATGTATTTATAGGCGTGAATGTTTAAATATTAGAGACAGTAAAGAATCTAATATTTCCCATCTAAAAGGGATGGATCGCCTAGCAGTTCTTCATGAGCTCCCTTCAGACTTTTATACAGGTGTGTACGCCGTTTATTGGCGAGAATAGTTGAGAATACAGACCTTTCTGTGATGGAATATGGAGTTCCTCACAGACCCGCTAAAGTAGTAGGAGGCTGGCATAATATCATAACAACGGTGACTAACCTCATGTGTGAATGTTTTATAGGCATGAATGGTTTAGTATGTGTTTGTGTGTGTGTGTTTAGGTCTATGGTGGAATATAGAATACCTCATAGACCTGTTGATCATTTAGGTTAGTTATTAATACTAAGGCGGGCGAGTTACCGAGTAATATTAAAACTAAGTTGGCCCCTCAACTTTTAATTGTACATATGATTTGGAAAGTAGTAGCCTGTTTTAATGTATTTATTGGCGTGAATGAGGGGACGTCAAGGTTACAAACACTCTGTTGACCTCCCAACCTGGTTTGTATATAATTTTTATACTAGTTATATACATAATATCGAGTTAGGATAAAATAAACACTTGTTAAAAGGTTAACTATTAGAGACAGCACAGATTCCAATATGCCCCATCCAAAATGTTGAATCTCCTGGCTGATCAACCTACCGTACTATGAAATTTTTGTCAAAAACGAAAACGAAATAAAACTAGAGTTAAAAAGCTTCCATATTTTTAATCTCATAAATTTTTTTATAATAAGAAAAGCTAATTTCTTAATGGTTGGTCTAATAGAATCTCAAATTCTGCATTGCCTTTTATTATTTTGCAAGTAAATACCTGCATTGATTAGATCTTTAGTTCTTACGAAAAGGGTTTTGAATAGAATTTTTGTTTTTCTAAAATTAATTAAAATTTTTAAATATGGTACAATTTGTAGGAAAGTGAGTTTGAAGTCTGGCAAATCTATGTAAACAAATGTATCTAACTTTATGTTAATCTTAGGAGATAATTTTTACTGGGGGGGGGGTTAAAAAGAAATATGATGTAAAATTACCGAATTAAGATTTGACAAAAAATATCACATTAATATCACGTTAATATCACAAATTATCTTAAAAGTAGATTAAGAAATGAAAATCATCACATTTGGACCCGAGTCGATAAATCGTTTAAATCAGTCCTAATCTTACAAACCCGGACATAATAACAAAGACGCCCACCGTTTAAAATACCCCTCGAGCCCAACAAAAAGACCACAAACTCAAAGACTTAGGATACTTCCGTAAGTCTTACAAAACAGAATATCTAATAAATAAAGAAGCAATAACGCATGCGCATCCCAAGCACACCTCATTCTCAAGACTTGCCGGTTTGGTATTCAGTAGTAAATCAAGAGTCGGCTAGTCATCACATCTTTAAAATGGTGAGCATCTCGATTAAACACGAAGCGTCCGTCATAATTCGTTTTTCCAATAAGTTTTTCAAGATAGTATAATTTTTTTTTTAAATTGTGTTAATTAAAAATTCACAGAGCAAGTACGGATTTATATTTTTATTTTCAACTCTAAACTATATTCGTTTTGTTATGACGCTTGTTTTAAAAAGCCTACTTCGTTGTAGAGCGTCAAAGTCTCTAAAACTAAAATAACTTTTAAGACCCACAGATGTCAACATGACTGATTCGCGCAATTTTATTATGTACTCTATTCAAAACAGGCGTGGTTAAAATAACTGGGCATCTTTAAAAACCTCAAGGATCTCATATTTGGTGTAGTTATCAACCTGAAAGTAACTTGAAACTCGCTGACAAGCCTGAAAAAAATTTCGGCCCAAAGGCGATCCAACCGCAAAAGCCAGTTTATAAGTAATTAAAAAAATATATTTCCCAATCATTAAATTTAAAAAATTAAACTTCAATTTAAACAGGTCACGTAGTACCAAAAAGGTTTAGCTTTTTCACGTAAGTTTACTGTTATGATCCGGATTTGTCTGACTGAAATAAAACAAACCTGGCTGATAATGAATTTGTGTAAAATTTCGTTTTGTTTTGGATTTCAGATAAACTAAAAAAAAGAATTTACTCGATTGCAAATTACAAATTTAGAAATGTTACATAATAATAACAGGCAATTTTTATTTGTGTTTAAACCATTTTTCGATATCTTTTAAAAACACGATCTTTATCTAATTAACTTAATATTGGATAGTAATTAAATAATTATAATCCACAGACAATAATGATTAAGGTTATTAAATTTAATCTTATATATTTATTGTGATTGCTTTTATAATTAATTTCGTTGTAGGAAATAAGAATAGTAAATTGTCTAAAGAGAACATGAAAGTTTTGTAAAGTAAGATATTTTATTGATTCAACATTCAACAACTGTTTTATTTAAATTTATATTTTAAAAAAATCAGAGATTAGGTAAATTTGATATTAAAAAAACCCACCTAATTCCTTCATTGAGCTTTCCAGGTAGTTGTTACATTTTTTAAATATCGTCACTATGTTTAGTATTTTAGTAAGTTTTAGTATTGTAAGTGATATTTGTTAACTTTGTGAATTATTAATAATTATGAAGTTCTGATTAAAATGATATATTCCTAGAAAGCTCGGTTCTATTCATTTTTTTCTTTAAAATCGGCGTTGTCTGATTTTTAAATACAAAATTATAATTTTAAAAAGGCTACGTATCATTATCGAATTTTTTTTTCCATTCTGTCATAATTATTCGGAATTAAGTAAATAATAATAAAAAATGCTTGAATAAAATATACAATATAAAATTATTATAGACTCAATTGTTTGTAATGGCCTACTGCTGCCTACGACAAATCCCAAAGCGGATATTATAGATTTAAAAAAAAAAAAGGAAAAAAGGAAAACAGGTTTGCTATTATAAAGACTGCATACTGGATACCATCCAAAACGTTAAAACTCGACAGTTAACTTTATTTTTTATTTTCTCCCTTGTCTGTGATATTCGGTCAAGTTTAGCCTCGGCAGACTAAACGAGCAGGGACATGACAGACGCCCATTACCCGCTGGCCCTTACAAGCTATTGTCAATAAGCATTCAAAATGAATACATAAATACATAAATAAATAAATATTGAACCGGGAAATCTACTGCGATTATACTGTTGTCAATCTTTACAAAATTTATGTATGCAGTCATATACATTCATGCAACTTTCCAAAAGTGGCAAGCCTATATTGAACAGCTTTATATTTATTATTTATCTCATTATTTATTATATTCTATAAACGAAGTCGATTAAAAATATATTTATGTTTTATATCGTAGGTTCATGGTCTGTGCTCGGGCATTTTTATTTTCATCCTCCCTGAAACAATTTTTTTTTTTCTCGACTCTTTAAGAATAAAGAACGATATTTTCCCAGTTTGATGGCATCGTATAAATTTTCATACTTTGTCATACTTTCTCTTTTAAATAATTTGTCACTTCCCAGCCCGGATGCTAGGGGGTTCTTTTAATTGTTGCCTTATTTGATAATTCATCAACTATTTAATTGTATTTAATAGCTACGTTGGACCAATCATATTGTTATATTTTATGGTGGGTTTGCGAGTTGAGGTTACTCAAACGCATTTCGGCTTTGCGCTTAAAACTGTCATCAAAACTGGGCAAAAACTTAAAACAAAAATTAGTTCAATTGCTTTTTTTCATCAAATAAACTATTTTCGCTCCAAATTAAACCTTTTTAATTTCAAATGAACTATTTTTAACTTCAATTTTACTTTTTTTAAAATTTCAAATAAACTCATTTTAACTTCAAAATAAACCTTTTTTACTTCAAATTAGCCATTTCTTTAAAATATCAAAAACCTAAACGATGATATGAAAGATAAGCACGTAAAGAAAAATTCCTGCAATTTAAAATAAATCAAATATAAAATAACTGTGCTCTTAGAATACCACATAAAAATTAATTAAAATTAATAATGATAAACAATTATAGAAATCGGTTGACACACAGTTTTGGGCCAAAGCTCGCGGAGGTGCCCCTTATCTTTGCTCGATGTGTCCCACATAATAGAGGCGTGTCATACATTGGCTCCATACAGAGAGCGTGTAGGCATGCCGCCGGATTTAAGAATAATTCTCGAACACGGCAGCGAGTTTCAGAGTCCCCTTCCGCTTGTTAGGGGAATTGGGAATTTTTTAAATTGTATATAGCCTTCAAAATATGTGTTTTGTGTTTCTGTGTCTTGTATGAGTGAATGTATTTATTAGTGTGAATGGGGAGGGGCTGATGGCGAAGTAGCTTCTCCATCGCCTCTCAGGTTGTGTGTATGACTTGGGCCGATGGCGGAAATTTTATAAAAATACCCCATCGACCCCAATCTAGATTAGTTTATTATAGGGAATACGTAGATGGAGGAATATCGAGTACTCCATCGACATAGGTATTAATGTATTTATTGGTGTGATTGTGTATTGAGTGTGTAGCGGTATTATGTTAGTGCTTCGGGGCTGAAATGACCAAGATGTCGGGGAAAAAAATATTAAAAAAATGATTCTTTTTTTTTTTAATTTGAGATTTGTTAAAATGTAAAATAACTGAGCTTTTAAAAACCACAATTTCTCACATTTCAAATTAACCTTTTTCAATTTCAAATTACAAAAATAACCATTTTTAATTTCAAATTAATATTTTTTAAATTTAAATGAACCCTTTTTTTATTACAAATTAACCCTTCCATTAAAGCATCAAAAAGCTTTATGGTAGTATGGAGACGGTATGAAATGTAAGCATGTCAAGTCCAAGAATTCCAGTATATTTGAGAATTTTTAAAATAATATAACAATTGGACTCTTACAAGTCTATAAATATTATAATTAAAATTAAAACTTTATAAAATATATATAAAAAATTATTCCTATATCAATGGAGGATTTTTTAAATATAAAATTAAATATAAAACAAATAACTTCTTTTAAATTTTAATAATTAAAACTCTTAAAAGCCATGTGTATTTTAATTAATATATAAAAATGAAAGATTCTTCTTTTAAATTGAGAAATATGAAAAATAGCGGTTTTTGAAAACCCAATTATTTTATATTCTAACAAATCTCAAATTAAAAGGACAATAATTTAGTTATATATTTATGTTTAATTATTTTATATAGTTTTCTAAGAGCCCAATTCTTTTATGATTTTGCTTTCAAATGCAGGAATTTTACTTTACTTAAAGGAAGAGTTAATTTGAAATTAACAAGAGCAATTTGAAATTAAAATTAATTAACTTGAAATTGAAAAGGTTTAATTTCAAGGTAAACAATCATTTGAAATTAAAGAGTTAATTTGACGGAAAAACATATGTATACAAAGAAAGACAGACTGAACAAAGAAATGCTACACTTACACTTATCGGGAACCTACTCCCCAAGAAACAATCATATCTTTCATCAAAACCACCCAAGACAACTCAAAAATACCAATTAAACAACAATACACAACTTTAGAAAAGAAATGAACAAATCTTGAAAAACACACAACATACAACAGGTTCATAAATATAACACAAACAAAATCCAACATTAACAAAAGAAAAAGGATTAAAACACAGCATAAAATCCACTAACACAGAACTTAACATAACACAAGTCATAGTAGTCGCGGGAACAGCCATTGGATTCTTACATCATACAACTCTCTCCAGTGAGAACAAACATAGAAGCACAACTAATAATAAAATAAAGAAAAAAACAACAAAACGACTGCATTACAAAAACAGTATAAGTCAAACACAACATAGACCATAACAACAAAAGAGGCCCAACAAAAAATATCAAAAACATATTGTAAAAAAAATGACCCTTAATCATAAATCCAATACCATCAAACCTGTCATCCCTATTAGACCAATAGTCAACTATAGGCCAACCCCTGCAAGCAATTCCACAACTGAAGATGGCTTAAAAGCCAAAAACAGTTTGAGACACGTCAAAACCCACGCGTGTAGACGGACCCAGTGACAGTTACCACATATACTTGTCTTGTTAAATTAATTGATATATTTTTTAAACAATCCCAACATAAATTCACATCAATTGTTTTTGTTTCATTACCGTTGCTTTATTTAACAAAGGATAAATTATAGCCTCTAAAATTCATAAGTTGTTTAAAATCATTAATGTACCTCTGAATATAAACGGCTTTTCCCCCGTATTCTTAGTTGTTTGTGTACATAATCATCCATAAAGTATGCAAAAACAAAACTATTAACCTTCATAATTAGTGCCGTTCAATAAAAGCCAATTGTGTTCATTTTATCTAGTTTAAAAATGACGATCGTGTTTATTGATGCGTGATCATCGATTAAATATTTTTTAAATAAGCCAGTCAAATTTTACCTGAAGAAATATAAATAAGAAGTGGTATTTAAGGAA